ATCTCATTCCAGAGCCGGTCAGCTACGATATTGGCAGCAGTATCCTGGCTGCTGAGTGCGTTTTCACGTTGGAGAAATTTCCAGCAGACTATAGCTTCAAAGCGGCGGAGACCCTCAGCAAAACGGGCATCGGCTTCAGGGTCTTGACCAGCAACAGCCTTAGTTGCACGGTAGATAGTAAATCCCCAACTGAAAGGTATATGTGTGGCGTCTGGAGTAGTAGCTTGGCCGAGAAACCGTAAGCATGAGTAGCCAGGATGTGTCTTATAGGCAAGAAAGTCGATTGGACCGAAATTAGGTGGCGCCCGGTTAGTAGACATCATGTAAAAGATGTTTGATTAATGTTAAATGGGTGTTGATCAATGTCATGATGGGATGAAGTGTTTTCAGAAAGGTCGTACTGAGAAAAACTTCAACTTTCTCTGGGAAAAGCCTGTGCGTGCCCAAGCCCTCCTTTTATGCGCCCACCAATCGAGCGCCACTCGACTGGGCCCTTAGTCATTTCCAGCGTCTTCCTCTTTAGAATTTGGGCTGATTAGTTTCAGCCTAGAGGGCCTTGGTAAAACGCAGAAACATGGCCGGCTCACATTCCCTCAAATCCAGAGAAACAACGAAAGGCACGATCATCACACTTGATCAATTTCCCGTGATTCTATCCCTGTAGAAGCAGCGGGGCAGCCCTCTCTTCGGAGAGGGCGTACCAGCTAAGGAATAAGTTGGAGAAACTGAAGGTCGCTTACCCTTGAGGACGAATTCACAGGCAAAGAGAAAAATCCAGGTAGTTGCCAATTTATGATAGCGGCCAACTCGTACTCCGCACCATCAGTCCAGTTGACGATGATTCTACGGGACTCAAGGCCGGTATGAGAGAGCCCGACATGATGTTTGGTATTGCCGAGGTTGACTTAGTTTAGTTCGGCGACGACCAAGGTGTTCTTGTCGGCCGACTCTACGGAGGTCACCGACTGCTTCTATGATATAACATGCTGATAACTTGACTTCTCTTGGACCGGGAAACGCCTCTACAAGTACGGAGTAAGAGCGGTTTAAGGCTTACATGTTAGCCAATATCCTGACCTCCGGAGTGAACCTTTTGAGTCCTGGCTCGTGCTATTCTGGCCCTTGGGATCTAACAGACTTCATGGGGGATGGAAAGAATCCTGCGGTTTTCGAACAGCATCACCAAAAGAAATCTACCAAAAATCCGCTTGTTCTCTTATTTCGTCCCGTCCCTACACCCCTTCGGGGTGGTTATGGTCCCCGATAAGAAATACACACGGGAGATGCCGGCTGCGTCTCTCCGCCATTGCTAGTCAAGCCAACCTAATAGTGTAGCAGGAAGAGCTTCCTACCATCGGCTATTAGACAGCCTTTTTGGGGTAGTTATCGCGGTGAGCGAGAAATTGGAACCGCAACCCCATTGGCGTCCAAAAGGCTTCTGCCAAGATCAGGCTCCCGGGCCATACTTAACAAATGGAAACTACCTAGTGGGATGATTCAATAAGACATTTAAAGCTCGGCTGGAAGCACGGCAGCGATTGTGCGGCGATACAAGAAGAACAGAACATCTACCGGCCTAAAGTACTCTGAGCCAGGCAATTTATTACCTTTTCTCCCGAATCAAAACTCCATTGAAAGTTGAGCCAGTTGCTGGATGTTTTCTCGATTTCCCTAGAGTAGATTGATGACTCGTTCACCCGAGAAAACCTCTTCTTTTCCCTTCTCATGATGTGTGCAGTATGGAATCGCGAGCCACCAACTTTGCACTTCGAGCAGAAAACCTCCAATTACTGCATGCTGAGCACACGAAAACCCTATCTCGTAGATCGGAACCCATTTGATGTAGGATTCCGCCCTTTGCGCAGTACCACACGTTACCCAAACCCCTTGTCCAGGGATCTTGCGCTAGGTTCCGATGACGACGACGAAGGAGACGTCAAGGCCGATCGACACGTCATCACGGAAAACTCAGGTCCCGTTTTTTTGGACATTTCCTCCCCAGTTGCGCTGTAGAACTTGGACCTGAAGGAATCATTCGCGTGCAAATGTTGCTTCGATTTTCTCTTCCAGCCAGTTTGATTTTTGCGGTGAGTCACTGCGGAATATTATACCTATCTCTAACTTATCATGGGCCGAAGAAATAGTGGGCTTCCTGGCACCAAGATTCGGAAATACATCTCTTGTTTTCCTTGTCAGCCATTGGTTATCATGCCGTTCTCCAGACTTCGCTTCGATCCTCTCAAGCCGTCCTTTGGGGATATCTCCATGCTAGAACGGCCGGTCAAAAAATGCTGGGTGCGTCGATATTGTGTACTTCGTACGTGCATAGATATCTCGGGCGGGAAACCACTGCCGTCGATCTTGGATCCTTAAAAGCAGCAGATGATGGTTTGATATATTAACAAATTTCTCCTCGACCGCTCACCGAGTAAGGGCATTTCTTCCTTTGCCGGATAATGCCGTCTGTTAGAGGTTCCGAGTGCAGGATGAATGCTTCCCCTTCCTCCTTTTCTCTTACATCTGATGTGTCCTTCCGCCTCCGGCGGCTTTGCTCTGCCGGGTGCTGTTGTGGATGCTCCAGTGGCTCTCTTCGGGCGGAGACGTCAATGTTATCTCAACGGTAGATGAACACAAGTACCACATCTCCGGTAAATGAATCCAGGTACGCGAGATATCAGATGAATGATGCTAAATTGGCATATGGAAGTTTCCAAAGCCAGTTTTACCCGGGAACATATCCACAAAAGTTTCTACATAGACCTATAAAGCCGCTGCGCGCTCCAGTCCTCGACGGGTGCGGGATCAATTGCGGGCGGGCGGAGGGTCTAGAAAGTCTATATTTATTTTTATATTTCGTCTGATATTTACCCTCCTTTCCGCAGAAATAGGATTTGGCTGATGAACTTTTTGCGTGGCTAGGGTTTTCTTTCGTCTTAATATGGAAGATGCAGAAAAGATATTCTCATCCTTGGTCACACGCTTTCTCTGCTGCCAATTTACGCCGGCCTTTTTGAGATATGAGGGCGTATCGGCTGGACAAGTCAAGGACAGGCTGGCAATACCTGGGAAATAAGAAAGGGCAAATGCGGGAATCACTGGCCAATATGCTGTTGGGCAGACGATCTGACTGAGTGCAACAATCTCGTCATTTGTTCCGAGCAATTGTCGACTGCCCTTTGATTGGAATCAACACCCCCCTTCTTGTTCTCCGCCATCCGGCAGTTCTCTTTCCTAGGCGAAGAGAGACACCCGCGAAGGTTGAGTGATGGGACGAATTGGCTAGCTCCTCGAGAGCTCTCGCGGGGTGGCAGAAAGTTTGCTTGCCACCTGGGAACCGTTTGTGGAACGCGTGGCTTTGGTGTGTTTTTTCTTTTGAGGGGAAGCGGAAAGTTAAAAAGCCCAGAAGCAAGTGCTTGGTGACTGCAACATTTCTGTTGAGTGTACCACTTCAGAACGCAACTTGCACTCGATCCCCCACGGGGCAGGTTTCTATGAGGTCAGAGGCGGAGAGACGAAATGCCGGAAACTCGCCGTTCTACCAAAGTTTCGTGTAAGACGTGGTTTTTCAGATGGAACAAGGTTTGCGCCAGGCTCCCTGCAAAATGACCCGTTCTTATCCGAGTAGAAAAGGCACGAAACCGAGACCAGGAACCCCAGAGTTTCACGCGAAAAGGAAAAGAAAATGAAGAAGACGAAAAAGAAGGGAGGGCTAAAAAAAATCCGTTCCTGGTCGAAGTTAGTCCGACTTCTAGTCGGTGGTTAGTTACATCGACAGGACGGACGCGAGTCTCGCAGACGATTTCAAGCCAAAAAGAAATAAGAAATGAGTGAAGACGTGTCGCCGACCGTTTTCAGACAATGCCAAGCAAATAAGTTTGCGAATCTCTTCGCACTTTTGCTAGCGACGAGGTGGGAAATGGGAATGGCATCACGAGGCTTGCGTACTCGTCGAGGCAATACGGGCAGGCTGACGCAACTGACTTGCTTGGTGGGGAGAGGAAGAGGTCAATTTCGAACAGCAGACTGGTGATCTGCCCTGGACTCTGCCTTGCCAGGAGCATTGAACAGGGCTGGGCTGGATTGGACTTGGTCCGCTGATGGAGAGTGCCAGTGGTGCCATCAGTGCCATTGATCAATGAATTGAGCACTGAGGACGGCCAAAATCTAGCGGTTAACAGCAGACACCTTCAGACTGTTGGCGTCTGAATGGTGGAAGCTGTTCCGTTCCAGAGTTCGTTCCAGTGGTGCTCCTGCTGGCTGAGGGTCTCCGTCACAGCGCACTAATTGATTCCATTGGCTCGATTACGCCCAAGTCGGGGCATAGATGGTCCGCCTCAGAGTCGCGATTACTACCTACCACCCACCACCCCCCATTCACACTGCACCTGCGGCACATTGACCGTTGGAACCATCACTGCCTCACTCACTATTCTTCCTGTCTTCCTGACCCCCCATTCTTTCGCCCTTTCACCCTCTGCCCCGGGGCAATCCGACTCGGCACTCGGAACGCTCCACGTGACGTATACATCGCTGACTTCATGGGTCGAGGTGCATGAGACGCATGGAGCTTCTTGGACAATGGATCCTTTCAATCCCCCAGTCGAAACAGCTCATCGCCGTTGAACCTTTTTTAAACACTATTTTTACCTCATTGTAATTAAGCTTACAAGGCGAGCTTCGTGGACAGTGAACATAAGCGCTTACCCCTGAGGTGACGAATCCACATCGGCCCGTCGCGCGGAAAACGAGCCTCTTCAATAAGAAGGGCTGCCAATCCCTCGGGATCGAAGGTACACCAGGCAGCGATTTAACCAAGCTTTTGCGGGAATCTCAATCTCACCTCACCCAGCAGAAACCCTGTTGGAACCCCACCCTGCGCCAACATTTCCTGCCAGAAACGGGAGGAGGAGATCAAAGAAAGGAAAAGAAAGAAGAAGAAGAAATATCCGAAAGGAGAAAAAGAAGAGAATTCAGGCGAAGCAAAAGCTCCTCAGGCAACCATGAACTCTCTTCAGGAAACAACCGACTTCGACTATGGAGCCTTTCTACGCGAGGATGCCATGGACTTGGCGCCGCCGTTGGATCGGTCACCCTCCACGCCGACCGTGGCTGGGTCGCCCGGGGAGAGCTCGTCGAACCCCGGGAGCTCGGAGGTGTCGAGGCGGCCGACCCAGAAGCAGAGGCATGAGCGGAGGGGACATACGAAGAGCCGGAGAGGATGTTTCAATTGCAAGCGGCGAAGGATCAAGGTATACCCTACACCCACCTCCATTCTGTTTTCTTTCTTTTTTTTTTCTTGCCCTCTCTGTCTGCCTTTCTTTTTTGAATATCTCATCACGAACCGTGACAGGCCAATTGGGGGTGGGGCAGCTTGCCTCCCACTATCCCTAACATACCAACCTTTGCATGGAAAGAACGGAAGCCATCGAAATGTAGGAAACGGGCAGCTAACGTCGCACGTCTAGTGCCAAGAGACGAAGCCTGCTTGCGGGCATTGCGTAAAGACAGGGTTGAAGTGTGAATACCCAGCGATGCCGCAGATTGTGCACCAGCCTCATCACCAGATTCCCCTCTTCAGCTTGCAGGACATGAGGTTTTTCCAACACTTCCTGCTCAAGTGCTACCCGTCCGTACCCGTGGCCAACGAGAGCGTATGGACGCATGAGGTGCCATGCTTATCACAAGAGGTTGTGCAAACTCCTTTCCCCCCTTCTCTCTCTCTCCGAGGGCAAGTTTTTTTCTAACCTGTTTATGTCTCCAGCATGAATACCTGATGCACGCGCTTCTCGGCCTCGCAGCCTCCGACCTCATGCAACAAGACCCCTCCCTCCTCACCTTCGCCATGGCCCACCGTCTGAAAGCCATCCGCGCCATCAAGAAGCGCCTCTCCGAAATGTCGCGGACCACCGAGGTGCGGCAGGACGAGTCCAACGCCATGGTGGCCACCTGCTTCGCGCTCACGTTCCAGTCGGTGCAGCTCGACGACGGCATGGCCGAGTTCATGGCCTTCGTGCGCGGTATCCTCATCGTGTGCATGCAGATGTGGATGAAGGGCGTCAGCCCCATATTCACGAACATGGTCAACGAGGATGCCGAGAATCTGCTGGCGCCATTTATGCAGGATTTACCGCTGATTCAGACGGAGTGGTCCGATATGGCGCTTGTGGCGATTCAGAATTTGAGGCCGTTGTGTTTTGATGAGGTGGAGATTGAGTATCATGACTTGTTGCTTGATTGGGTGCAGAAGTTGTTTACGTCGTCGTTCGATGGTGAGTTCTCGTTTTCTTTCTCGGCAGTTGCCGCTTCGCTGTGCAAGGCTGGACTAACCCTATTTCTTTTTTTTTTTTTCCCATTCTATTAGCATACAAAGCCTTACGAAGACACTACGGCTGGTGGATGATGCTCCCGCACGACAAGTTCCGGCGCATCATCGACCCCTCGAACCAAGTCATGGTCCTCCTCGCCACGCACTGGATCGCCCTGAAGCAGATCATGGCCTTCATCACCGAGGTCGAGGAGATGGCACGCGCGACGCGGCCTGCCGGCGGCGGCAAGCAGGACGCCATCGACCCGGGCCTGTCGCGGTGGCTCAAGTATCTGAATCGACAGGTAGACTTTGAGCATCGGTTGTATAATACGTGGCCGATGTGGGTGGAGGAGCAGTTGGATCGGGATATTACTTTCTTTGGGAAGACGAGGTAGTCTTTCTGGGAAGATCGGGCCGGGGGGTTTTGGAATTGTGTGGAATATCTCAAAAAGGTGGAGGAAGTTGGGTTTGGCTTGGGCTCTGTTACTGGTGTCTGGCTTTTGGAAAGAGATATATCAAACGTGTGTCTTATGCACAAAATGATGGGGGAATAAAGGAATATCCGGACTCTTTTGGTGGATATGGGTAGTTGGGTGTTGGATCTTTGGATTTTGTTTTCCCCGATCATTTTACTACTCTACAGGTATCGAGGCAGCTCCTATCTGGATAGGCGGTAATGCAAATCCCTAGCTCTCTACACGTATTGTTGCATGTTTTCTTCGTATCCTTCGCATTCTTCCTAGCCCTGAAGAGCCTTCGGCCCAAGCTAACACTAGGAAATGCATACTGAAAGGTAGAGGTGCAGGTAAAGATGGATGGCAGGGGAAATTCTCCGGCGTACATGTGAGACCACATCGTGAGTCGTGGATGGGACTGACTGGGTCAGAAAGCCATTGCAATTAATCTCTCAACTTTATTCAAGTTTCGTTATCCAACCCCGCTTGAATCTTCAAACCCCTATTATCCAACTCGCGGGGACAATCTCCCCTTTCCCATGATTCTCGCTCTCTTCGGGGATATAACACCCAGCACCATCCCCATCAAAAGAATCTCTTCACAAAGGCTTAGCCATCGTACTCATCGTAAAAATGCCATAGCCTCAAAGGGAAAAGGCGCAAACAAAAGGCGTCATGTCAAAAGCCTAAACAAACCCAGGGCACAGCCCCCCCAACCCTCAAACGGCCCATCTTGGGGTCGTACTCCTCGGGAAACCCAAAAAGAACCCCACCAAAATCTCGCCGTATTCCTCGGGTTTTTTTTCCTTCTGTTCCAGAAGCGGGGCGAAGCACCCAGTTGATCGGCGCAAGGGGTTGGGCGCACTAAGGAGAATGGAGGAACAGCCACATGGTACCTCAGTACGCTGCACCTGATTTGTCGGAGTGATGCCGAAGAAGCCTCTTTTGGGTTGTGTCTTTAGTTCTTCCATTTCGTTCTTTCATTGCCGTTGGAGACGGTATGACGCAGGTCTGGGAGACTAGACTACCATTTTTTGGTCATGCCTTGTAGGAAGCTTAAGCTTTGGGTTTCACTCGAGGGAGGCAGGGTGATATTGTACTGGCGTATTAGCCGTATTTTGATGGTCCGCTAAGGCTGTGTCGGGATGGAGTTGGGAGGAGCATCCCGGCGATGTCGATGATGGAGATGATATATATTGAGGATGCTGCTCGCGGTTTGGAGAGCAATGTTGAAGCATCACGAACCGCAACACCACACTAGAATCAACCTGATCATCGAGACTGAGATCGATAACATTAAAGAGAAGTCGTTAAATTGTCCCATCCGAGCCCAAAAGCTGCAAGCTACGAAGAACCACCTGCAACAACACCTTGGCCGACGAATCTATCGCGACAAAAGTGAATATCAAACATCAAATCTCATCAAATCTCCTCTCAAATCCAGCCATCAAGTTCTAGACACTCTCACAACAATATCTCTACATAATCTCCCAAAAATGGCCACTGCACAAATCATCCGCCCCTCCTCCTCCTCCTCCTCCGCACCCCCCTACACCCCCATCGCCCACGAACTCACCACCTTCTCCACCACCGCCTCCGCCTCCGCCTCCGCCTCCTCCGCATCCTCATCCACCACCGACCTCCCCCCGTCCTACTCCGACATCTCCCCCGACGCCACCGCCGACCCCTTCACATCCCCCCTCAGCAAGACCCACAAACCCTTCACGCCCACCCAGAAGCTCCGCATCGACTGCATCGGCCACCCGGCGCTGTCACTCCCCACGCCTCCGCGCCCGGACCCCATCCCCATCTACGACATCACGCACGATCCGCAAATCACGCGCTTCACGGAGCCGCTGTACACCTCCGTCCGCGAGGCCCGTAGCTCTGGATCGTGCCGGCTCGTCCCTGGCTCGGACCTCTCCGCTGCGCCTCTAGCCTCTACTACTTACCGTTTCGGGCCGGGAAAGCCGCCCATCATTACTCTCCACAACAGCGATGAGAACCTAGGACACGAAGAAGAAGAAGGAAGCGAGGAAGAAGTAGACGAAAGCAACCCCAACTCCATCGCCATCAAATCCAAATCCGCCCTCCACAGAACCCTCATCTTCCGCTCCCCTACCTTGGGCACATTCACCTGGCGCTACGCATCCCGCGCCGAACGCAAACAAACCGGCGCCAACTCCCTCGTCATCCTCGAACGCATCCTCCCCATCGCGGAGGCCGGCTCCTCCAAGCCCACCGAGACAGTGGTCGCAGAGGTGGCCCGCTTCGTGCGCTCCGATGAGACCCGCACCCCCGGGACCACGAGGCACACGGCTGGGAATGGAGGGGTTTTACTTTTGGATTTGGGGTCGTGGAGGGATACGAAGAGGGGAGAGGAGGAGGAGATGAGGAGGTTGGCTGTTGCTAGTTGTGTTTGTGTTATGAAGAAGGAGGTTGATAGGAGGAGGATGCAGCAGATGGTTACTATTGCTGCTGTTGTTGGGGGTAGTTGAGAATGACCCCAGGTGGACACACATTTGATGAGAATTCCTTTTTGGGTTGGGTTTTGTTTGCTTTTCTTCCTATTCGCAGTTGTTGGTTTTCTTATAGAGGTTGTCCTAGATTTCCTTGTCGAGTTTGTTGTTGTCGTCTTACCTTTTCACCTTGTTCTCTCACCTTCGATGTCTTTTTCAGTCGCTTCTTTCCTTGCTTCTTCTTTTAATACGATAGACAAATAGATTATAGCTGAAACGTCACTTATAAGTCTATATCTACTGGAGATGCTTGCATCTGCTGTCGGTTACTCTCAAGTTCAGTGAACTTCTCCGAGGGACGGTCCCCTTCTCAACATGATTGTGATGTTGTCCTCTACGAGTCTACAACCTAGCAAGGGACGAGAGATCATCAACCAGATGCAGGAAAATCACTTTGCAATAGAATCTGTTATTCATCGCAAAAGGGAAGAAGAGAGAAAGAAAAAAAAAAAAAATCGAAAGAGCCAACAAATCCCCCGATCCCAAGGGGGAAGAAACTCTATAAAATGCGCCAGGGTATCAAGTCGTTTCTTTTCGTCTAACCTCGCCTCGAAATGCAATCTATCTGTAAGTTTGTAAAAAGACCAGACCAGACCAACCCTCACGCGAAAAAAAAAGTCTTTTGCTGACTCTCTGTCTAGAAGAACAAGATCGGAAGGAAAGAAAAAGAAAAAGAGAAGAATCCGTGGGGAGTTTAGAAACCATTTGAAGAACAGAGCCGAGATTTCCACCCCCCCTTTCCTTGTTGAACCGTTCCGTTGTAAAACCGAATCCCGCCATTTCCTTTGAATTTCCCTAAAGACCTGAGAATTTGAATTTGCTTTGGAAAGAATCGAGGCAGAGACATCAATGCCAGTTATCGATCTTCCGGGTATAAGAACCATTTGGTCATGCATGATGGTTTGCCCCCAACTCCATAACGAGCCTGTAAACAGGAAATAAGAGGACAAAAAACAAATCAAGAAGAAAGCAGAACAAAATGATAACAGTAAAAACACGAAACAAGCGGCAGGCGCAAGCGGTGTGCGCCAAGAGGACCAGACCATGCCATGCCAGAATGCCCGGCATAGAGAGGAAATCGAGAAACGAAATCACAGCAGTCATAAAAGAGATGAAAGCCGCCGTCGTTCTAGAGTCGAAGATAAAAGAGCAGCCGTCATGCTTCCCAGGTCTTCCCAAGCCTTAAACCACGAATCCGAGAAAAGAGAAATAAACGATAACGCCGGTGTAGAGTAGAGTGATTGGTAAAACGCGCGCAAAGAAAAAGGTAAGTAAATATGCGAGTAGTTTTTCGCACACAAGGTAAAGAAGTGTCATGATTTCGAGTAGACCTTGCCGAACGGTGAAGGACTACCATCTTAATCCTTACCATCGTAGCGGTCCGTTCGGTGTGGCGTGTAGTTGGGGACTTCGTCGAACCACCCGTTCTGCTCATTGTACTTGTACGCATGGAACGCTATTCCGTACGGTTTCGGCTCAATGGCGTAAAGCATGCCAAGCGGGACGTCGAGGTCAGTAATATCGTGACGGGTGAGGTTCATAAAATACGCCATCAGAACTCTGCAAATCGACCGATGGCCGATGATGAGGACGTGATCGGAAATCCGCTCCATCTCGCGAACAAGATCGCGCATGCGGTGAATAAGCTGAAGATAGCCCTCGCCGCCAACGCCGGGGTAAATGTAGTGGAGCTTGTCGGTGATGCGCTTGCGGTACTCCTCGGGGTAGTCTCGGGCGATCTCATCGTACGTCTTGCCCTCGAACTGGCCCGAATTGATCTCGTTAAGCATCTCCCAATTCTTCACGTCATAATCATCATCTGCCTCGAAGAGCTGTGCCGTATCGACACTTCGCTGCAGCATCGACGTCCAAATGCAAAAGTTCTTCTCATCGATTTCGCGATTGTATTCGGGATAGGGCGGGGTCAAGTCGCCGGGCTGAGGAGGGAATGATGCAGCTGCCATGTTATCTTGCTGTTCAACAATCCAAGCCCTGCGCTGGTAAGTGATGAAGTTGTACAGAGCACGGGAAAACGCGCGGCCGCGCTCGGTGAGCGGCGAGTCACCGCCGAGTTTTCCCTTGACATTATCCTCGCTCTGTCCATGCCTAGTGATCCAGATCTGCCGAGGCGAGAGGTTGAAGGTAGTGAGATACCCAGCAATCAAGGTGCTGAGGAATCCTCTGAGGTGGTAGTGGATCACCTTTCTGCCCACATTGATCATCTGCGAAGCAAAGGGGTTAGCTCATTCCCAAGAATTTGTTTAGAAAGGCCGCCTTACGCTGATGTATTGCAAATCCTCCTTTTCCTCATATTCACCGAGTGGTTCATACGCGCTTTCGTAGGCTTCAATCCGTTTTCGGAAGTCCTCAAGCGACTTGCGGGGATCCTTGTCCTTGTAGTCAGGTCCGGAAAGCTTTAGGCGCATATTCGCCTCGAGAAGCTGTTTTAGACATAGTCAGTAAATCAGAGGAATTCGTTGAAAATGGGGAGAAAAGGGTTCATATTCAGATACTCACAGCCTTATCTGTGCAGACACTCTCAATAAAGAGAATGCCGAGCTTTGGCTCTCGCGCCTTGACACGATCGACAATCAGCTGGCGCCTCTCAATGGTACTGTTGGTTGCGTCGAGAATACCAACGGAGCCGCCTTGTCGAAGAAGGTAGTTGAGAAGCTCGTCAAGAGTATCCAAAGCCAGTTGATCTCGGACTTTGGCCGCAGCTTCATTCTTGGGATCGAAGAAGGTAGCTGATTGGTCCTTCAATTCATCCGCTTCCTCCTTCTCCAGATTCGGCGCATCCAGGTCAAGGGAAGTGGGCTCGGGGAGTGGCGCGGGAACGCCATTCAACAAAATGGCAGCGGCTTGTTCGGGTCCGCTGGGGGGCGTCAACGTTGATGTTGGCTCCGGCGGGTTCGGCGAGGTCGCTATGCCCGCAGCAACACGGCGCCGATTGCCCACATTGAAGATCTCGGTGTTGTGCTGTTGCCACGCGAGATATCGCTGTATCTTCTTCGTAATGTAGGATTTGCCACGAGCTGGTAGGCCCACCATAACGACGACAAGCTTGGAGGCGACATCACGGTCGGGGATCCTTCCATCGGGGGAAGCCCTGGAGCGAGTCATTCCAGGGATGTTCAAGGTCGTCGCATGGGGCCGGATGCGTGGCGTATGGCCAGAATTCGACCTCGTCAGGCTAAGGAGGCAGGTTTGTTAGCTTGGACTGTGTTCTGCAAGGAGTTTTAACGAAGACAATGAGGGGTAATTCAATATCAAAAGGGAGATGAACTCTGACCCCCAAAGCAGATGAGAGAAGAAGAAAATGGGAGGATGAGACTTACAACAACCTTGGTGAACCTGGGGCAGTTGATGGGTGGCTCGTAGAGTAAGGTGGGAAGGGTTCTGTTTGGCTCAGCCCATGGTAATCATAGAGATGGGCAAATGGGCCATGGCCATGGATGTCATGGATACCCTTCATGGGCACAGGAGCTGGCATCGCTGGAGTGGGGACCGGCATTGTGATTGATGGAGGAGGTGGCATATCGGGCTTTGAAGTTGGAGCTGGCTCTGTGGGTGTTGGTGGCATATCTGATGCTGGGGGATTCATGTTGTCGTCGCCTCCATGACGAACAAGATGTGCATCGAGGTCATGGTAGTTGTTGGGTTGAAAGTGGATGGGCGACTGCAACGGTGAAAAACCAGTTGCTACTTTTCCAGTCATAGCCTGTTTTGCTAGTTGAGATTGCTTGGCCTGTACACGACCAAGATCTGTAGTCAAAAGTTAATGGTTGAAAGAGTTTGGGTTAGTTTGTTGTTGGTGTGATCGTTGTTTGGGGGAAGGGAAAGTAGGAGCTGTGTGGGTGGGTGTGGGTTTGGGAGGCGAAGTGTGGGATTTTATCCAAGTGTGTTCTTTGGACTGAAGGATGGATTGTCCACTACGTTTGATCCAGCAGATCAATACAAATGACAAGAGGAAGAAAGAAAGAATGACAATAACTGTGTCAAGGATAATACAGAGGACAATGATGAAGAGAGTGACAAGGAACAATGACAACGAAAAATGGTACAAGGCCTAGTAAATACTCCGTACATACCTGGGGAAGGAGACGCCACAGGGAGTGCAGCAGTAAAGCCGGACATTAATGATCAAGTCAGTGTCGAGTCACCGCAGAGGTGTGGGACTTGGATGTGGGTATCGATGTACTAGTCGTACGCTAGTTGTTGTACTCCAGTACAACTGTAGCCTCAAAAACCGGCTGGGATAAGGCAGCAGCGCCGTGGAAACTGTGGGAACAATGGTGCTATTAGCCTGGCTGTTCCGTCTGTACCGTCGGTCGCTGGTCCCACTGAGTTCGCAGAAGTAGCCGATTCTGACCCTGGCACGATTCGATTTGATGCGTATGGTGCCCTACTTCGTACTAGCAGCGTCGTATATGGTTGGGGCCGCTCAAGTCTAATATGGGGTGGCGCGGCGGCTTGGAAGAGAGTTGCTAGGGGCGTGTACAGTAAAATAGGAGTGAAAGGGAGTGAAAGAGGACAGCGTCGTATCAAGTGCGCATCCGTGGATTTGTGGACCTATGGTGTGCACGCCCAGTTGACGTCGTTCGGTATCTCTGCCTGGGTTGGCGTGGCGGCAAAAATGGCTGACGGTACTTCGTACTGCTGATAGTCTTGGCTTTCTTTCTTTCTTTCTTGGGTGGCACTCTTGTCGGAGGACGGAGGTTGCCTTGCCTGGCGAAGGTGGAAGGTGTGCCGAGGAGGGGCTAAACGTCGTAATACTTCGTACGAATGAGAGAGACCTGTATCGTTGCTCCTGCCAACCTTGTGCAGTGGTGCCTTGGTCCTGTAATTCTATTTGCTTAGCAGCCTGGCTCAGCACCGCCTGGGCTGATCTGAGCACCGTCTGAGATGAACGACCGAGAGAATGGGGCTGCAATAAGGTGATCGCATCAGCGCAATGCTACCACCTTGTTCGGGAGACGGCCGTCGCAGGCTCCCAGTTAATGAACTTCAGCCAACCGGTCGGGTATCGATGCGACTTGGCAGACAGGGAAGGTCGATTCCAATATAATTTTTTTACGAGGCAGTGGACAGTCGGAAAATGTAAAATGCACATGAAAATAAAGGGTCAACCAGCAACTGGGACAACTGGGAGAATAAAAGGGGACCAATTGCTTTCGCTAACCTCTCGTCAGGTTTTCGCGATCAATTGATGGCAAGGCGGCAGATGGCCTGATTGAACGGAGAAAATGAAGAGAAATGGTCTGGTTGATCAGAGACGACGACGGCAGCGAGGCTTGGAGGGACTTTTAGAGGAACCGCCCTGGTCCGGCTCCGCGTGGGAGAAAACTTGGCCGCCAGTGGCTCTTTTTTTGACTCTCCCTCTGACGCACTCTTTTGCAATCAAGTTTGTCCTCTTTTCCACACACACACACACACACAATGAGCGGCAGACTCGGCGGCGACGGCGGTGGCGGCGTTGGAGTTTGGACGTTTGACTTGGAAAGCTGTGACGCAGCCGGAGCGCCCGTCTCGGTGACTTGGAGGGTGGGACAGAGAGCCGCAATCAGAAAGTGCAGATTTGTACCGCTACTTTGGTTTGGCTACCAGACGAACATGGATATGCAGCCCAAAGGGATACGAAGTAGGAATGAAGTATGTATTATGAGTATCATGAACCAAGGATTTAGCTTCCCCTCTCTCCACTCTTTGCACCAGGGACTGTTATTACTGCATTGTCAGACATTATTATCATCCGAGTCTGAGTGTTCCTTGTAGATTACTATTTTGCTTGGCTGTCGATATCATCGAGAGAGAAGAAAAGGGGGAAGCAGGTAAAAGGAAAGTAAAGCAAGGACCAGGGTGACAAACGAATGAGGAAAAAAAAACCATTTACGAAGTAATTCTCCAAGTTTTCACTGGTGGAACTGGAACGATTGTCGATGAATGCGCTGGTAATTAGTGGGGTATATGTACTTCATCCACTGGACGAACGCTATTACCATCTCGAAGTACCTGTGTATTCAACGTGCACCCTAGCCTGTTGGCTTGTTCCCTCGACTTCGGCGACCACTGTTGCGTAGCACACGAAGTCGAAGCAGCGGGTAGTGGAGACTTGATGGATCGATGGGTCTGCAGAATGAGTCAAACCAGCACTTCCAGCATTTCCGGAATCCCATGAATCCCAAGCAACGAAACTTGCCAGCACGACTCCGTACAACTCTCCGACACATCCAGCCAGCCCCGAAATCCGAAGCAAGGATGGATCGCCGGCATTCCAAGACTTTTTTTGCCTCCTGCCTTTCCTCGCGGCACCATGGCCTCACGTCCCCCGTAGCTAGAAATGCAGAGTCGACAGAAGATGCAAGCAGGTGTAAGCCGCTCTGTGCGTTTCTGCGAGGTCAGAATGCTGCTTTCCTCAAAAAGTGAAGCTACAACTGCAGCTAAATTAAGCGACGCGGTGCAATTACGGATTACGGGGGAGGCGAAAAAGCCAAAGAGACGGGATATTGACCTCAATATCCTCCTTAGGATCCATGCATCCGTTGATCTGGGGAATAATACACTGCTAATAACCTTCCACCGATCCCGAGATGAGGGCCAAGACCTAAGAATTGTTCGTCTTTTAAGATTTATAAGGGCCTTGCCTTGCATCGGGGATGTCGCGCCGACTCCTTTTATCCCCCACTAGCGTGCTTGTATGTACTCCGTAGGTCGTATCAAAACTGTTTATCCCACATTTGGATCCCTTGACGATCCCTTGACACTGGACATTCTCGACTTCGTAAACTACTTGTGGCCCGCCGCGATGCGGTGTGTTGCTAGTCTGTGGGCAAACTAGAGTTAACCGCATCCATAAAATGACACCAGCTCCCACTCAAGCGTGGAGCCGACTGGTAATTCGGCTTCCTATCCGGGGTTGGTCTCGTGGCTAGTCTCGCCTAAACGGCACGAGCAGGGTTTTTACCCAGGCTCCTCCTTAACTACTAAGTAGTAGTGCGATTTGCAAAGTATGGGGTCTTGCCAGGTCTTGAGGGTCATTCTGTTCACTTCTTTTCTGCCCCTTGGAGGAGGTATGGAGGTATGTATGGTGAAGGGAGGGGCGTACTTCGTAGATAGTACGGCACGCCAAGGCAGACCTCATAACACCCTCCATTTTCATACCCTCCTCTCGCCCCTTCTCAACACCATGGATAAATATTGGCCTTGGGGTTGGGACAACTTTCGATGTTTTCTATCGTATGCGACGACAACCTCATAACGATTACAACTTTTTGCCCCCGCATTTTGAACGTGGAGTATGACCCCCAAGCAACCCACCTCCGAGCTTCGTGGGATGTTGAATATCGATGCGACCTCCCACCTATGGAGGACGACGTCAAAAAGTCAAAAGGGGAAGAGACATCGTCGCGTGGGAGCGGGATACCCGTATAGCGTCTAGTGCATCTGGTTCTAATCTGAGTTGGGCATTCTTGCCACATAACAGGTCAGATGAGTCCCTCATTTGCTAATCCCAAGATGGCTGCTGCTGGGTCGCCAAGGTGCAGACAACAGCATTCAGCTGGAGCCATCCTCATTTCTTCAATGACATATCTTTTAAGGCCTTATCGAAAGCGCGCGGGTCAGCCACCTTCACAAGTAATGTGCAGTGTATCTTTTTTTTTTTTTTTTTTTTTTTTTTTTTTTTTTTGGGGGGGGGGGGGGGGGGGGGTTTCCCCTCCTCCCTGTTATGAGTTTCTCATCTCCGCGAATTAAAAACGTGACGTAATGGGCACGAAGGCTTTGGAGGGGCAGAGATTTGCCAAGCTCCTGCGCCTGGAAATTGTACGAAAATCAACGATAACATTTGAACCTTCCAGAATGATAATGGTATGTGGTAAGTGCATTACCAAGTCCTGGTTCGCTTTTTTTTATCGTTTCCTTCGTGCAACCTCCATCAAATTTTGCTGCAAGTATTATCAATCTATTTGGGGGGTATTCTGCAGAGTTCCTCACCTCCATCAGATGGCAAAACTTGCTGAGAAAGACACGATTGCAACTCCTTCGATGGCGGGGCAGAGTGGGATATTCCACGGCATGGTGTGCGATTAAGATACGCCAGAGACGAAACTTCGTACGAAGCAGTGGAGTTGGAGCAGCTTCTCTCAAGTTGGGGCACACTAAAAATGCGACCGACACTAAAGAACCCACTTCGTCCAGTGTTGCCTCAGGGTTCCATCGAGTTGCGTTGCAGCAAACAGCATCGGCTGCATCTCCCGTCACAGTTTGGGGTGTGGGCGATGCAGAAGACATCCAATCCATCCTTTCTGGTCGAGAAATCAACAAGAGTGCGAGCAATCATCGAGCAAGGAATTGGCCTTCCTTCTCTTGCATCTATCCCCTGCATATAGTATATGTGTGTGTGTGTGAGTGAGTGAGTGAGTGAGTGTGTGTGTGTGTGTGTGTGAGAACCAACTTCTTTTCTGAGCTCTCCACCCCTCTTGTCAGCATGTGCCGATTACTCTTGTATTTCCCATCGCATTTGATTCCATCCCACCCAGACGATATCGGCGAAGGGTTGGCACTAGTAGCGACCCCTCCATCAGATTCCTAATGGAGCGTTGATGAATACAATCCGTCTCATTTGCCCGCTTCCCGGAGCTAGAGCTCGCCCATCCCTCGAGCCTAGTGCCACTTTAATGCTAGCTTCATGAAAAGAAACTCAGACGGAGGACTGTGGTGTAGTTCGTAGGGTAGTGTCGTCCTCAAACAGTCAAGTTTTTTCCTCCATCCATCGCGTCTTTATCAAACAAGAAATCCCGTAGAAGCCTTCGGAGAAGGAACCCCGGCATTCCGGCCACGTACGCGACGCTGACAAGCGAATTGAGAGGCTTCCCCACAGAGCCTCGTCCCATCTTACTTCGTACAATCCCGCCAAGTCGTCCCCCATCGTCGTCACCATGGTTTCCATGGACAGTTGCACTTTGAGTGGCACCTCGGTGAATGAACCAAGAAATGGATATTGCCTAGGCGCAAACTCCGCCTCCTTAATCGTCAGAGGGTGAAGGAGGTGATACTGGCTTGAAACAGGCGTAGGCCTCAACGGCATTTGCTAACTGATCAATACTGCGACTAGTAGAGGGGGCTGCCCCATGGCAGGCCTCGCGGTGCACAACAGTGCAAAGTATATTATACAATGGTGAATTCGTAAATGGCAAGACTAGGTGGGCCAGGATCGATCTCTTCCAGGTTAGTCGCGAGGACCTCGAGGGGTGGCAGCCGGTCATGACAAAATTGAGGCTCACACCAATCGTCGGGCCCCTCAAGACTACGAAGCCAATAACCGCATCGTCACATCGCCATACCCCTTTGAGGCTCGCTTTCGAGGACCAGGCTAGGTATTCGAAGACGCTTGAATCTTTAAAGTTTGTTTGAGATTGTCACGAGCGTTGATCAATGATGAAGCACTGGAGGAGACCCGGAGATGGGAAAGATACATTGAAGGGCATCACAATGCAATTTGCTCGTGGACCGACTATTCAAAAGACAGCCTTGCTTGCTCATCGTCGTCCTTGGTGGCGACCGATGCCTAAGTATAATTGTGTCAGGCGGCATCTACAAAGGTACGAAGTAGACGATTCGTTGATTGTCCATATGAATGCTGGTGTCGTGAGTGAATCAATGCCAGGTTAATAAACCAAGTGCAGACACACAGAAAGGGCCCCGATGCCTTCTCAAACCGTTGGCATTTACATTAGTCAAAATGTTTGTCTCTCAAAGGTGTTCAAACCATCCTCGAACCCGATGCGCCGCGGGTGTTTGACTCTCTGCTGGGAGGAAATAATCGTGGCCTTAGGATTGCATTTTCCATTGTAATTATTGTCTTTTCTTTCGTTCTTTTTAGTTTTTGTTCTTGTTTCTGTTTCTGTTTCTTTTTATGCTTCGGTTTCTTTTAACAATTGAGGAAGGAGAGACAAAAGCTTGCTCTTTGTGTGTTGTGCTTTGCTTGTTCTTTCCACACTTTCCCTTGGTGATTTTGGCTGTGAAGTTTAAGTTACTGCATCTTGAAGATGGAATTGTTCTGGAAGGAACGAGCCTGGGCTGTTAGCGTCTGTAAATTTTTCCACGGAAAACTAGAGGTATCCACTCTACACAACCTCACCTTCCCTTTCATCTACACAGTCCATCACTTCAAGTTTAGTCTTTTATTTACATCTCCCTGCCATTTTCCAGAAGGGTCTAAAAACACCTTGTGCCTCTCATATCTGCTTTCTCCGGCACGTTTTTGCCCTTCTTTACATTCCCTACACATCCTCGTACCCCTCCGGGGATTCTCCATGTCCCTAGCGAGGTGTCTAGATACAAGCCGGCGCCTTGACTGTTCACCATCGTCCTCGACATCTCAGCTGAGCCCAGCAGCTAGACAAGGCTAGCACCTCTTGGTCGGCTCAATCCGATCACTTCGGGTGCCTGCTGGGCCAGCTACCCCCGGTTCGGTCTACTCTCCTCCCTAAGAATCGACACGTAGGAAATCGCGACTCTTCGGATCCACGAAATTTCTATCAAAAACCAGCAAATTGCAGCTTCGCGAAGACTTTTTATATTCATGTATGAGTAAGGCTTCCCTCCTTCTGGAGCCTCGAAATCCCTCACTCTCTGGGCGCCGCGGCGGTACCCCCTGGTGCGGATGTAACTAGCTGGAAAGCGACTGACTTCTTTCCATAGGGACAACATCCAAGCAATCCCAGCCATGGAGTCGCCAGGATCTTCCGCCTATCTAGAGGGTGCCTCTACAGGCACGATCAACCGAAGCGTTGTCGTCAACTTTCCTCGCCCCGAGTCCCAAGGCAGGCCGGCTTCCCTGCCGATGTATCCCGAGCCTCCGGCCGTGACGGCAAACACGGTAACTATTGCCAGCACTGAAAAGCCTCTTCTTGGGCCTGTTGGGCCCGTCGAGATCCTTCCCAATCCCCTCATCAACGACATGGACGTCAAGACCATCAAGAAGGGCATTTTGATTCCGCTCAAAACGACACTAGAAGTTCAGCAAGACCACACAGTTGACCAAGTCTACGTCACCCGTGTGCCGACGAAGTGTACTAATGAGGTTATTAAGTAAGTTAGAAAGCTAGCAGTTATGCTGATTCTTTCACCTGAAGTGAATACTTCGGACCTCGGTGGATCTCTTCGACACTCGCAGGAGAAATATACTAACATAGCCCTCTTCCATACAGCCTCTTGCGCAAGTTTCTTCCTGAAGACCGAGTTAAGAGCATGGTCCATCTACGTAAAGTCGTTAAGCCGTCCGATCTTCCTGCCCATCTCAAGACCCAGTTCATGAATGAAAACGAGGTGGGAAGGCAGATCCATACGGGCAAGTCCTCATGGGTCTACATTGTCATCGGCGAGGTTAAGTTGATTGAAAAGGAGGAGGTGTGCAAGACTTTGGCGGCCTTCGACGGAATGGAAGACAAATTCCTGACCCAAGTCACGGTCCCTGCCAACCCACCAAGCTCACAGATCCATGCCGCGATGTGGTCGTCACAGTTCTGGCCGACGGTGTACCGCAAGAATAACCCTCTCGGACCTCACCCCAGTCTGATATCTCGAGCAACCGAAGAGATTAAGAATGACACTGCTCTATGGATGGCTGTAGCTTACCGCGTCGCCCGACGGGCCCAGGAGTCGGGCATTGGAGAAGCTATTGGCGCCGTCATCGTTCAGCGCAGTGAGGGCAGGGCTCAGATCCTGGGCGTCGCCGGAGATGCACGATGGGCTGGGGATGTTCCCAAATCAGCCACCGGCAACCCAATGGCGCATTCCGCTCTGAGGGCCATAAGCATGGTGGCCCAGAAACTGGTACGTCATGAACGGCGAGCGGCTGGTCGACCTATCGAAGACCCCAACCTAGATTTCGACCCCTTCCAGGACCGACCCCTACTAGAAGAGGAACACTCCGCATATCAAGAGGATCACCCAAATCCGGATGGCTACCTATGTCATGGGCTGGAGCTATACCTTACACATGAGCCCTGCGTGCAGTGCTCTATGGGTATCCTTCATTCTCGCATGGGCAAAGTTGTCTTTGCCCAGCGACACACTCTCACCGGGGGCTTCTGTTCGGAAGTCCGGGGTCAAGATCTGCCGGACGTGCCCGAGGGTTCGGCGGGCGATGGGTTGGGGCTATTTTGGCGACGGGAGCTCAACTGGAGTCTCCTCGCCTGGGAATGGGAGCCTGGATCGGACTTGGATCCTCTTCCCCCCATTGACCGCTTTGTGCATGCTTAGGGGCAGGGCTCGTGGCCGCTGCCCTTCGATTTTTACTTATACTCTACGTTTGATCGGAACAGCCACCGCATTGCATCGGATGATTTTAACCCCCACGTTTTTTTTTTGTGTCCCCCTGCCAATCCTACTCGCTAGGTTCGCGTTTTCTTCGGCCACGTTGTTTCTCTTTCCCACTCAGCTCAGCCCCATCCTGGGGAAGCGTGAGTGAGCATTTACATACGGCAGTGCGGTTCTCAAGTCCTTTCGAAGCATGTCTTGCGACGCATTCTTTTTCTCCTTTTCCGAAGGCACATCATCTGTCATGCGACGGCGTTTCCAAGGGATTCATCAATGCATTTTGATAGCCTGTTTCCGAGGGCTTTTTTGGAAGATTGTTGAGATATTGGTTGAGAGAGCATGCTGGATGGGGGGTTAGATAGTCCCCTAAGCTGCTCAAGTTAGAAACTGAGGGTTAAGGGAACAGCTTTTCGACGACATCGATGGCAGATGCGAACCCATTCTTCACATATTCGGTTACAGCAGAGTCTTATTTTTCGGTCTCTTCTAGTGGAGCTTGATATATGAGATGGGAGTGGGGGTGATCGAGAAGCTTCCTTAGTTCTAGGTATTCTCCGCAATAACTAACATCTTCAACAACTGCACTAGAGTTTTCGGGCTTGTTGTGATGAGTGTAATCTTGTAGCACGAATGAGAAGTAGACGTTTACAGGAAGTGAATACTAACGAATCAGACTTCAGGTAGCATGTGTTCTTTGTTGAAGCAAGCTGAACATAATTTCTGCTAAGAACTTTCCACAAAGAGGGACTTGGACCTGAGACAGGTCGGCCTGGGAGAAGGCTTGCTTACATTCATATTGCTTGTGAAATTTCTAAATATCAGTTAAACCTGATATTTATGTTTATAGGAATAGGTCCATGAGAAGAGACAGAACACAAAATGCCATTTCCTCTTTCTCCTCCGTGCAACAATTCTATGCCGAGGTAGAGTGAGACTGAAACTGAACAGGAAATGTTTACGCCAAGAAGCAAAGAGAGAGAAGAAGAAAGTTCGTCGTCAGCTCGGAGATCATTGGCCAACACACCAACACTTTTAGCCGCAAACCCCCGCTTCCGGCATTGATTTTTCGGATTGGAGCTAGATCCTCCATCAAAGAGATCATTGATGGGAGCACAAGATCCTCTGCAGGCTGGATCAAAACAAAGAAGGTATTGGTTGCTATTTTTGGCAATCAGAAACCTTGTCTACCAGCTTTCAAGAAACTACGTCGCGCTTTTTGCTGCTTTTCCCTGGTGAACAAGGTCTCTCTATCTTTCTGGGCCAAGAATATGGAAGCACTCCCTATCGGGGTTATAGATCTACTGAAGTTCAGGTTAAAACTGCTCCGCCATCATGGACAAGGACTGAAGTTGTAAGGAAGAGGGGGAGGGGGGGTTATCCTGATGCATTTCTCCGTGGGTGGAAATGAGGCGGGTCTTATTTGCTGGCGTGGGCGGGTGGTGGGTGGTGGGTTTTGAAGGGGGGAGGTAAGGGTGGTCAAGTGGAAGTCCAAGGAGGCAGTGACGCGGGGGTGACCATGACTCAGATAGAGGCACGTATCTCGGTGTTAGTTTTCGATGTTTTTTGTCAAGAAAACCGAGATGGGGCTGGGGGGCGGGGAGAGGGACAAGTGAGAGAGCTCCAAGAATGAAGAGACGAGGATGGCACGCACATAAACAAGAGGGAAGATGGGGAATCGACAAGGAAGCGGAAGAGGGGGTTGTTTGACGGCTTCAGGATTGTGAGGACACATCAATACAAGTCGGGCGAGCTCTAGCCTCCCCCCCTTCTCTCCTCTCTTGAACTCCACGACGCGGAAGAGGGGGGTGGCCGAGAGTCCCATCCCCCCCATGCTCCCTCCAAGTCCCTCCCATTTCTCCTCAATCTTTCCGAACTCTCCATTTCATAAGAGTCGGATACGAAAACACTACTTCGTACTTGAGCCCCTCTCCAAATTTCACCTCCTCGAAATTTCAGCTGTATTTTTTTTTTTAACCTGTCTTGATTCAGACAATACGTTACGTAGTCTTCCTTGTCCGCCCCTGTCGCGGATTTCTTTCTTATAGACTTAGAGTCAGGCGCTACCCACTGATTTCTGGGTCTGCGGGGCTCCCGTTTCCGGCTGGTCTTAGCCAGTGCCGCCTTTCCCTCGGACAAAAGCTCCCTGAAGCTTCCCCCCAAAATTTGCCTCTGGCACCTACTACAAACAGCATCTGAGATTCCAACCCCATCGCCCATATCTGCGAACAGAAAAAGATCCAACTGGGCAAACAAAGGAGACGGGAAAACTGAAACACCAGGAAAAAGCAGCTCTTACTAGTTTCCCCTTTCTCTTTCGTGCAGTCTTGGCTCCCCAAACCGCCCCCGCTCCTCTCGTGACGACGCGTATCCAATCCGACATTGCCGCCCTCCGCGTGGGCCCTCTTTTTTCGACCTGCTTGCCTCAGACAAACCATCATAAAGAGGTGCAGCTCGTATACGAGGAACGAGAGCGTGTCTCTCTTTAATTCACGAACTTAGGAGTGTTTCTACGGTCCTCTGTGGTTGGAACCGTCCAGGTGCAGAGTTCCGTGAAGATCGATACTGTCAAGGGAAAGAAAACAAGAAAAAGTTCCATAGGAACAAATCTTCTTGATACGACCAGCCTACCCCCACGAAACCACGAACGCTCACCGAATATCCCCTCCCCGATCTTTACCGCCACTTGCTTTTTCCCACGCATACCCGGATCAGCCGCGGGAGGTGAGCTGCATGCTCCAGTCTGCATGTAGGAGGGCCGCGATCGTTGCCGAAGCACTGGCAAGAAGTCTAGTTACGTCAGTCGATCTACACATACAAGAACGAGGAGCCGACGCGTGGATATTTCTAGAAACGATGTCCTCCACTAGGAAACGACCGCTCGTATCATCGGGCTCCCAGGTACCGGGCAAGAAGCGCAAGACGGACTCCGCCATGCAGAAGTTTTACGCCGTGAGGATTGGGATGAGGCCTGGGGTTTATCGGACGTGGGAGGAGTGCCAGGCGCAGACGGCTGGCTTCAAAGGCGCTTCATGTAGGTCGATTCCGCGGGGGGAAGGAGAGAGAAGAGGAGGTCCCTGGGACAGCTTTGCTGAGTGTGATATCAAGCCTAGACACTAACATTTTTTTCTCTCTTTCACAGACAAATCCTTCCTCTCCCTAGAAGAAGCCCAAGCATTCGTCGCGGGTAAAAAGATCAAGTCTTCCACGAGCCCCACCGAGCCACCAAAGTTCTACGCGGTCGCCAAGGGAGCGTTTACGGGGATCTTTACGGACTGGGACCAAGCCAGCAAGGCGATTAAGGGTCAGAAGGGTCCTAAGTATAAGAGGTTCCCCACGCGCGAGGAGGCGGTGGCGTTTATCAAGGAATGGGGTGATGCTGATGCGATTGCCGCCCTGGGCGAGGAGGTGTCCGACGCCGAGAGCGACGAGGAGTCAGATGAGGTCGATGATGATAGTGAGAGGCTTGAAGTTGAGGAGCTGTCTGAAGTCAAGAAGAAAAAGGGAAAAAGCGTGTTGAGTATCTGGACGGATGGGTCGAGCTTGAAGAATGGTAGGGCCGGTGCTGCGGCGGGAGTTGGTGTCTTTTTCGGCCTCGGCGATACAAGGTATGATATTCTCCACGAGATTTTACTGTTTCCTTGCTCCTCATATCCGATGCTAAGCTCTATCACTTAATCTAGAAACATCTCCGAACGCCTACACGGCGAAGTCCAAACAAACCAACGCGCCGAGCTGACCGCCATCCTCCGCGCCCTCCATACCGTCGACGCCGATGAAGCCGTGCAAATCATCACTGACAGCCAGTACAGCATAAACTGCGCTACGGTGTGGGCATCGTCGTGGGAGAAGAATGACTGGAAGACGTCGAACGGCGAGAGCGTGAAGAACCAGGACCTCGTCAAGGGTATCCGCGAGAGGATGAAAGAGCGTGAGAAGGCGGGCGGAAAGACGACGTTCAAGTGGGTCAAGGGCCATGCTAGTGACCCTGGTAACCATGCGGCGGACCAGCTGGCTGTTGCGGGTGCTAGGAAGGCTCTTTGGTGAAAAGGAGAAGATGACTCGTGAGAAAAGGGTTATCTCCTTTTCTCTTATGGCAGGGGACGAGGAGGTAGGGAGGTAGCTGAGATGGTTAACAGTACCGGATCGAATTGATATTGCTTCCTGGGTTGACGAGACGGTTGATTTAGAGGGAAAGGGTCGGCATATTCATGATCATATTTGCAAAATGATACCGCAAGCGATACGTGTTAAGGAGTTTGCTTATTTATTTTTCGGGCGACTCGGCTTTGAAATGTTCATGTTCACTTTTCTTGGAGGCTACCTGTCTGTTTTTACTCTTCGTCTGTGTATTTCATGTGACTTGGTTCTCGTTTGCCCATTGCATCAATGTTGGCGGCCTTATCGTTGGTTTATTAAATCTTTCATAGCAGGTAGCTCTGCGCTGACCGGAGCTGTAGCCTGGAGTAGTCTTCCTCTTAATGATATATTGAGTTCCATTCTCGAAGGCAGTTCATCCATGTCTACCTCGTGATGCAACAAACTCCTGGAGTTGAACTTGAACCGTTCCTCCAACCTGATGCTGACTCTAGGGAAATCACCTCGTTCTGCTAGGTAAACAAGTTAACTTGAAATGAAAAGACTCAGGACCACAAAACGTTGCTCTGGAAAACTCGGATTTCGGATGGCCTTCCGGTCACACACGTAGACTCCACACACTCCTATCATACCATCCAAGATACCGACACGCATCCACAATGGTAAGGCTAGGAAGTGAAACTGGCTCTTAAGTCCCCATTCCTCCGCACGCAACACAATCGCAAGCCAAACAAGTTCTACCGTGTGACACGTTATCGGCCCCTGCAGAATGGGGGAGCAAGAATTGGTCAGATATCTACCACGAGTGGCGGACAATGGATATTTGCCCTTTCATGAATCAAAGACAAGGCTTACACGCGCAGACGAGGCTGGAGGCAAGAGGGGAAACAAAGCTAACAAACGTGGATACGAGACCGTGTATTAATGGCTGGTCGATTTAACTTGAGACCTTTGTGTTTCTTACGATGTGTCTGTATGTCTGAGTCAATGAGTTTGGATTTCGGCGCCGCGGAGATATGGAAACCCCAAGTGCTCCTTTGACACGAGCTCGCTGTTTCTGGAAACAACCTTCGAGCCGCTCTCCTAGAATTTCGTCTTCTCATCTGCTGGCAAATTTTCTGTTTTAAGAAGAGAAGACAACCGGCCGAGCCGTGAAGACCCGGGTCTGCCGAATGCACCTTCCAAGTAAATTCGTAAGACTTGGTGTCCTAAGGACATTCTATCTGAGTTGAATGGACGCAATTTTCTTCTCTTTTGTCTGTATTACTTGCTTACAAGCTGTGCGTTGAGCAGGTTTGTTAGTGCCTCGAGAGCTTGATATTCTTGCGATTGGAGATGTTCGGCGACAGGAACAGGCCGGTGACCCGGAGCGGAGTGTCTAGAAAGGGGGACGGAAACGGAGCTCCTTGCGAAAGAAAGAACAACTACTAGGAAATTAAATCGGGCAAATATATATAAACAATGCGACGGTGCGACGTGAGTAGTTAGAAATGTCGCAGTCTCTCGCGCTCTTCAGCGAGGAAGACAGGAGGAAAGCCCGGTGATGAAGGCCGGATGTCGACATGACCTGATATCGAGCTTTACATCCTCCTCTCCTAGACCTGTGCTCAAGACAACCTCCGGAACTCGGATGCCGGACGCCGTATGCCGTATGCAACTCGAGGGTCCCCATACCCAAATGAGGGCAAAATTCTTTGATTCTGGAAAAGTGGGGCGACTTTTCTTTTCTCCTTGCTTCTTTTCCTCCCTTTCCATGGGGAACGAGAAGAATGAGACAGGAAGCAAGACACAATCCAGCCATCTTTTCCAACAATAGGAACTATTGTTGGAAAAGATGGCTGGATTGTGTCTTGCTTCCTGTCTCAGTTATTCTTGGCCTGGTCGTAGTGCTGTTCCAGACCCCCAAACTTGGACCCCCAAATACTAACTAACGTGAGAGACATAACTAAACTTATTCTCCAGGTAGGCTGGTGGGAATTTAGAGATTGACCAAAGTGTCATGTCATGGGGTAGACGTTGATAGGTCACCGGGGAACTGTCGTTGCTGACCGCGACGGGATCTCTTTGAGACGCAGGGTCGTCCGAGATCTCCCGGGGCGAGATTAGGACGAAGAGAATAAAATCAATTGGTTTATTTACATGTTGTTCCGAGTTCGGTGTGGCTTGTCCGGAAAGGTTAAAAGGTTATCAATTGATTGCAGCATTGCATGGCGAGGTGCAGATAGGCACGGTAATTAGTCGGTCTTTTATTGCGTGATAAGGCGAAGACTCATCCAAGTCTTTGAGTTTTCAGTTTGATCAGATATCAAGTCCAGAGAAGGCCGGGCCAAGGAAATCACGACCTCACTTGCAGAATAGAACTTGAGACATACAAGTAAGGGTAGTACGGCATACGGCATACGGCGTACTTATTCGGCAGCCGAGAGCTAGTCGAAACTTAAGCCCTGGCAATGCCTTGGTAGGCAGTAGAAAGTTTCCAGCTAAGACGTCAAATCGGTGAAAGAAGTTGGATCAACTTCGGGCCGACTTTTCCTTCTGCCCTTCCCTGGCTAAGGCTGTAAGCCTAGTGTTGAACGTTCTGGTGTTGGTTTCTTGTGTCTACTCGCACTGCTGACGCGATGCATGCATGTCTTGTCAAATCAGGCCAGCTTCTCTCGAGTTTCTCTGAGGACGTGAATAGAAAAGTCGATTGATAACTAGAAATGACGATCTCCTGGGAGATGAGGGGGTGTTAGAGCGGAAAAGGAAGAAGCTCTAGTACGTCGGAATAGTTTACTTTGCCGTCCCGTGTGTTTGGGTACGCGCTATTGCACTGGCTAGTCGTAGGAATGAGCTGAGACGGTGTCAGAGGCGCCAGGGGACGGACAGGACATGACGGCAGAAGAGTATTCTACTTCAATGGATCAACTTTGACGCCCATACACGCGTGTGAGAGTCGAGAAGTATCCAATGGATCACTCATACGGGGTTGTATCAACCTCACAGGACACCTATTTGCGCGGATGCCCATCTAGCTGTGCAAACTGTTTCCACAGCTTCACCGTCCTTGTTGAATGGGGGCTCCGCAATAGGGTATCATCCATGCATTTCTATTTCCTATCTTATCGAGGAAAAAGGAAGCAGACTCAGACGCGGCCTGCTTGGTAGGATGCATGCTGATCTCTAGGGACAACTCGACCGCTCCGGGTGGAACATACCGGTCAAGACGGCTTGAATGATTGGAACTGACTAACACGGGGTTTTGGACTACTGCACACCATCGTGTCGCGGTATAGTCTATGCTTCGTGGTCCAGAACTGCTTTTCTTTCACAGACATGGGAGGAGGAGGTTTTTGAGAACAAAAAGAGAGGGCGAAAAAAACACCACCCTGAAAGAAAATCGAATTGTCTGGGCCGAATATTCAATCAAGGTCGCATTGCGGAATGGTAACCGGGTATTCCCAAGGAGAAGAAACGACGGAAGGCCGTCACGGCTCCCGCCCGGACCCAGCCTCTCTCTCTACGACCCTGCATGTTCCTGGCGTTGAAAGGACGGCACGGCAAGGTGGCCCCGGATTGACCGATAAGCCAAAGTCCGGATCATAACCCCGACCAGTTAAATCGCCTGCGTAAGCGGTGCGCCGGGTTGACTCTTTGTGTATAATAAATGCTTTTTCTTTCTTTTCACCCTCTGTTTCTGGCCATGGCGGGCTTTATTGAGCTTTTCCCGAGCGGGTAGGGCACCAAGCCCTTGTTTTTGAAATGACGATCGTCCTGCTATGTAGGCTTTTGAGGCCTTGCTTCTTGCTGGTTCCTTGTTCCATCACGATGCTACGTGGGCGCTTCGAGTTGCGGTTGACCAAAAGGCGACGTGGAGAAGCTTTGCCTGACTAACATGCTGACCTGTGGCTGGTCTTGATGCCTCCTGTGGACGCTCACCTGACGTTATCACAGAACCAACCATGAGGTGGCATAGAAAAAGGGGGGGGGAGGATAGATACGAGCTTGAGAGGAGATGGAGCCTAGTCGAGGTCATTGTGATGTGTCTAACTCTGCACGAGGAGGAATTGGCTTTGCTTTGATCAGTCGAGTGTCTGTAGCATGGCGCTATGCAGCCCTTGATCTCCATACTCGAACCATCGCAAGATTGGCAATGCCAGTTTAGCAGCGCGGATCAATTGTAGCGCATCACTAGTGACTAGTGTGATGACAGTCGTGTTTAGTGTAGTGGGGTGTGAGTGCTGCGTTTAAGCGCATCCTCTGAAGTCTGGGGGTCTGGGGATGGAATCAATGACGGGAGTTGATTGATTGATGATGGTTTTGGAACGAATTCATTGATGTTTTTAGTGGGAGGGGGAAACACGGGGTTTGATACCTGGTACGAAGGTACTTTGTGTTTCGTACCTTTGTACTTCGTAGGGAATTTCTGTTTCCTTACTCATACTGTGCTGCACCTTGTTATTCGAGGAGAATTTCTATGGGATTCCATTGAACACACAGTGGACAAAGTGTCTCGTGCACGGATATGACATTGATCAAACCTTGATAAGGTTTTCAATCTGTGCACTCACTTAGCTCCATACGAGAGAGGCCGAGAGGATGTGATGAATATGTGAGTACACTGCAACGTAAGAAGAAGTACTTCCACATTGTGCAGCGAGGCAGATTGCTGACTATCAAACTCAAACTCGGTCTTGGTGTCTGGAAATTTCGAAGTCGTCACCGGTCTCCTTCTCTTAATCGATATGTCGACGTGTACTTCGTACTGCCCGGTACCTGCCCGCTTCAGCCCACTCCAGGATGCACATTGGTGCGTGGGGAGGTACATTGAAGGAGAGGATTAAACTCTCAACAAATTATTGCATAGTAGAGTCGTATTACTCCAAGCTCTCGGAATTCTGGCGACATAGCGAACCGTATCATAGGTTTCGTCTCGACGGGAACCTTTAACCTTCCTTATGTTGTAAGATGTAAACATTGCTTCCGGATGTCGATTGATCTTCATCGTAAGCGGGATAGAATAAGATTTATGGGGGCTCGGAGTGCTGTCTTAAACTAGTGTACGACTACAGGAAGAGTGGTCCCTCGAATGGCTTCTACTTCCTCGTCTGAGTATACTTATTTGATGCAATACTGCGCAATGATAATGTAGTGCAGTATAGGAAGTACACAGGTACGCTACTCCTCTCCTAGATTAGACGGGCTGGTTCACTAGTTCGTGCAGGTGATTCATAGTGCTACACTACACTTGAAGACTGATGTGGGCATTTCTTCGCCTTGTTGGTACATCAAAGGAAAGACTAGTGACCTGCCTAGTCCGGGAGGTCAACCCAAGTCAACCCTAGTAAACCCCTCGACAGATGTCTCCTTCCTGCTGCCTTGTGTAAACTACGCCCCGAGCTTTAACCGGAGGGACAGCGACCCACACAGATTTGTGCATCGTGGGTTCCCAATGTTCTCATCACAAAGTGTTGACGACGCCTCCTCATCCAACCAACCCATTCTCTTCCCCCCATTTGCTGGGTCTGGCTGTATCTGTCGAGGCTTCGGGCTCGGGTTCTCAGGACTATCTCGACATCACGGTCTTCAAGATCTAACAGATAGAGGGATCCTTCGAGTCCGGGGATCTCACTGACCTTCTGAACTTGCTTGCCACCCACCGCTTGGAGTCGGCCCCCAGCAATTTTTGGGGTCGATCGTGGATTCGTGACCCTGAGTCTCTTGACCCTCAATTTGGCTGGCAGAGAACGGGACTTGGCGTGTTCCCTGTGACCACTTAGGTGCCAGCTGTCTTGCCAAAAAACCCGCCATCTCCCTTCCTTCGCCCTCCTCCTAATACGGAGCGTATTGCAATTGCGACGTACGCAATTTCGACGACTTGGCTTTTTGCCTTTTTGCTCAATTCCCCCGTCGTCGACTGAAGGCATCCATATTTCTCATCCTCTCATTCTCTCTTTCTCTCAATTCTGGTTGAATGCACCCTAATAATTTTTACCGTCGTCGATTGAAACCTCTGTTTTTCACGTAGCATCGACTTTTCTTTTGGGCCTTTCTTCACCCCTTCCATCCTCTCCCTATTCGACAGCGAGAGAGACCCTTGACCGTCTTTTTCTTTCTTTTTTTTCCGCCGCCACCACTCGCCGACCGCCTTCCCGCCCTATTCTCTCTCAGCTTCTTCACCACATCACCTCACAAACGGCGATCTCTAGTCTCTCCGCCGACAACAACGCCCCCCGACTCGGCTCGTGCGAACTTGGAACATAGCGACGCCAACATAATTACGTCGACGATCCCTTTAGCGAAGAATTATCAATATCTGTGACTGCGCCTCCTTCTTGCCCTGCAGAAAACGGTAGCTCCTCTGCAGTTGACCGCCATTGATCCATTGGTCGACATAGATTGGCTCCGCTGGCGATTGCACACGATTTCGAATAGCCTCGCATTATCGTCGCGGTGAAGGTTCGGGATCATAATTAAGGCTACAATTGCGACGTCGAGGCTGAATCGAGAGCGGGCGAGAGCGGGCGAGAGCGGTCAGAAACGAGTCTTGGGCGGACGAAGTACCTCACCGCACCTTGACACATACACTCACACCTAAACCTCTACAAGATGCCCCCTTCAGAAGATTCGGATCTGGCTCTCTTCGATATGGAGCATTTTAGATTTCGCGGCCTGGACGAGGAGCAAACGCTAGATCCCTCAAGTCTCGACTTTCCCAAACCCATTGCCAACGGCAACCACGACGCCTTTCTCAATGACCCCGATGCCGCAAACTCGTTTGTGTTTCACGAGGCCTACCAAGAAGAGTCCCTATCCGACTCTTCCTCGTCGAAACGAGCAAGTAGCGAAGCCTCATCGAAGACTGGTCCAATGGACACGAGCATGATGAACGATATCTCCATGGACGATGGCACATTCCAGAATGCGTTGTCAAACGAGCAACTATTCGACACCCCGAATCACCGTAATTTCGGCATCTCGCCGCTCGAGATGGATAGCACTTTTGACGAAGACGAATTCATGAATCAGTCCTTTGATTTTGCTAGAGCGTCTAGTAGTCCTAGTGACGTACCCAAACCTCTCATAACAGCCAACGGTCGTGCAACCAAGTCTAGGTCCCACATTAAGAATCGATCGGTATGCTTCCTTCGCCTCGTTTGGAGGGTCCCCCGCCTTCCCCCTCCCTCCCCTATCTGATCAATCTAACTGTAATTTAATATAGACGAACTCCTTCAAGGTTCCGTCGAGGGAAGTTTCACCGCATTCGACAGTGTTTGCTAGCAACGCCTCATCGCCGAACGACCAGATGGACTTCCACGATGCGAGGCAAATGCTGATGCACCAAGCTAACGGTGCGCCGGCTTGGCCGCATCACCTTAACCCAGCAGTCGCAAACCACCTCCCCCACGCTTTCGCTACCAACCCTGCGGCGGCTAACCAGGCTATGGTTTTGGCGGCCCAATTCCCGACCTTCCTCCCTGTGCACCACGGCTTGGAAATCCTAAGCAACCATCCATTTTTGACCTTTGACAGGGACGGCATGCCACCCAAGACTCGCGTCGAGACCCAGATCCACCTCAAGACGGTGTTCCCTCGACTACCGCCGGGTGTCGCTAAGCTACACCTTCCCAAGCACACCATCTCTAAGCCTAAACTTTGGTCTAAGGTTCCCTACGTGCCATCTCCCGACACGCTAGATTTGCATACCATGCTCGTCTGCACGAGTGCCATGGAAAACGAGGATACGAGGCTACGAGCGTTGAAGAAGGCTCGCGAGGGACCCAACTCTGGTTTCAACGACGCGAGGCCAGAGAAGGAAACCGATGAGGACAAGCCGTTGAACGGCGGTGAGGTCTGGATCTGCAGTAACTGTATTGATCGTGAAAGGAAACGTTCGGAGCGCAAAAAGGTCAAGAAGCCCGACGAGGAGGGTATCTGGAAACGAGAAGAATGGCGCCGTGTCGTTGTCTTCAACACCCACGAGATCCGAGAGTTCCCCAAGCCCGATCCCATCACCGGTTTCACAACGATAGAGCTCCCTATGCGCATCGCTTGTTACTGCCGTCACCAACAGGAGAAGATGGGTTTCCAAGTCATCTTCACTATTCGAGACCATCTCGGACGTGTCTTAGCCCAGGAACTAACCCCATCAATCATGATAACCGACGACCACAAGAACCACCTTGCTCCGCCCGGACCCACGACTTCGACTACCCAAATCTCTTCGCGGCCAACGCAGAATTCGGCGCAGATGAACGGCGCCGCACCTGCACCTGCACCTGCGCCTGTGTCTACGAAACCACAACTGAACAGCGGCGATGTCAAGCCGGCTTCCAATCCCGTAGTCCAACCGACCCCGTTCCGCTCAACCCAGTCGGTCTCCGACCTGACACGACTGCAGGCGGGCCCGCCTCCAACTGCTAGGCGGATAGTGAACCCTAATAAGCCTTCGATGAACCCGCGCACTCTCTCACGCCCAGCCTCACCAAACAGCCTATCAGCGCCGCATGCCAAGAAGCGAAAGTCCAGCGCAGGGAAACTGCCTGTTAGCATGGCCATGACCCCTCTAGATACCGCGACCGCGACTTCTCCTCCGACCCAACTATCTGGCGCACCGTCTACTGCAACGTCGCCGTTTGCGCCCGGTGCTCTATCATTCCCCAACCAGGATTCAATGTTTACTGGTGGCAGTCCCTCCGCAGGCGGAAACCTTTTCGGCACTGCTCCTTCAACTCCCAACATGGAGGACCCGTCCTTCTTCTCCCCGAATGCGTCTTTGAGCGTCACCGCCGAACCCCTGGCCCTTCGACACAGGTTCTCCACTGCGGCGGGATCGACGCACCAAAGCCGAGCATCGAGCCCGAATAGCTTCAACAACGCTCTAAATGCAGCCGCTCTCCAGTCCCAATTCGCGCAAATGCTTCCCACTGGTGCCGCCGCGGCGGCGAACCTCGCCGCCATGAACTCGCTCAGCAACAACTTGCTCGGAACTCATCCTCTACCTACCATTACAAAGATCACGCCCTCCGAGGGTTCTAAGTTGGGCGGCTACGAAGTCACGATCCTGGGTACTGGATTCCACCGAGCACTCGAGGTCATGTTTGGAGATCAGAAGGCAACAGCGACTTACTTCTGGGCCGATAACATCTTAATTTGCATCGTGCCGCCCTCACCCATACCCGGCGAAGTGGTGGTCACGTTCCCTCAGCATCAGACTGGGGTGCAGTCGATGATTAATCCGCAGAAGTTCAAGTACCTTGACGACGACGAAGACAAGCTGCTCCGCTCGGCTATGGAAGTCCTCGCGCGGAAGATGAACGGCAATCTTGGGGACGTGAAGGACTTCGCTATGCGCATTCTCAACTATCGTGGTCTTCCGCCTGGCGCGGGGGTTAACGGAGGTGGCCCGGCAGGCCAAGGCTATACTAACGCTGCGTCTGGTTCGTCCTCGAATGCGCCCTACGATATCGAGGCGCAACTTATGAAGTGTCTCGAGCTCATCGACCTCGACGACAGCCCGTATAAGGCCCAGTGGGATTACAAGATCTCTTCGGGCCACACCATGTTGCACTTGGCTTGCTCTCTCGGCTTCCATAGGTTCGCGGCCGGATTGGTTGCCAGGGGCGCCAAGGTGGATGCTCTCGATAACGGCGGCTTCACGCCTATGCACATCGCTGCCATGAACAACTATCCCGAGATCGTAAGGAGGCTGTTGCTTGCCGGAGCCGACCCGACGCTGAAGAGCAAGCAAGGGTTGACGCCGGCAGACGTAGCGGAGTCTGAGGACATTATTGGCGACCTCCGCAGGGTAGCTAGGCGCACGAAGAACCGAAGCGTCGGCTCTCTGCGCAGCGCCGCCAGCAGCACCACGTCACTTAGGTCCCTCTGGTGCGGCGGCGACCAGTCTTGCCCAGACCTTCGAGACCTCGGAGCTGCTCAGGGCAAGTATGAGGACGACAGCGCCGAGTACTCTTCGTTCGACAGCAGCGGAAGCGATGAGGACGTAGCGGGCGAGGGAGACTCAGATGTAGGCGCGGACGAGGAGGATGTCCTCCAGATGCGTAGACCAAGCGTCCCTACGGTGACGAGGCCACGCGCACAACTTAGCCGTACCAACACGCACGTCAGCCACGTTAGCAAGGCGGAGGAGGAGGAGATTGCCGAGATCCCGGCTTCCCCGAATGCGGCTGCGGCTGCCTTCAAGCAGTTCCAGCAAGCGATGGCCCTGTACATGCAAAACCTCCCTCAGCTGCCTCACATGCCACAAATTCCGCAGATACCCCAGATGCCAGCCTTGCAAGGAATGGGCACGAACGCCGAGAACCAGGCGTATCTTTATTATGCCCAGTTTATGCGCCGATTGACCGCCCTGGTTCCCGGAATGTCAGGACAACGTCCTGGTACGCCCGACTCGGAGTCGTCGTCGCCGCCGTCCTACGAGGATCTCTACCCATCTCGTGACGGTGATAGGAAGGCGAGGTCTGCCGAGGAGGCTCGCGCTATGCAGCCCACCGACATCAAGACCTCCCCTGTTGAGGAGACGATTACCACCGAGGCGCAAGGGGAGACTTCTGCCGCCGAGCCAAGCAAAGAGCCCGGTGTGCTGAAGATTGGTCGGAAGAATGCCATCACCAAGGAGCAACAGCTTGACATCCTACGAGCTCACGAGGCTAGGTTGAAGAGGCTTAGCAGCGACAAGAACTTGTTTATGATTTGGGTAAGTCGTTGCCATCTTCTGTGAGATTTTTAAGTTCCATCCGATATACTAACCACACCGCTTCTTTCAGATTCCATTGCTTGTATCAGTTCTTTGCGCATTGCTCTATGGGCGCTTCCCGGGAATTTTCAGCTTCATTGGCAGCTTTATTCTTTCGCTCTTCAAGGTTATGCAACCGACCCCCGAGGCTTCTTTTGCTACTCGCGGTGCAGAGAGGGTCGTTGAGGTTTTATAAATCAACAATATAGAGGTGATCGCTTCACCGCGACGGATGGGAAGGAGAAAACAAAATCATGGGTAATGGGTTTTCGCGGGTTGTGTGGTACTATCACACGTGTTTCTTTCTTTTTCCTTTGTTCTTTTTTTTCTTCCATTTCATGCCGAGGGAGGAGTATGGATTCATGTCTGGGGAAAGGGCATGGGAGGTGGATGGGCTCCAGACTCGTTCAGCCATTGGGTTTGATGAGATGTTTGAGAGGGAGGGAATAGCACGTTTAAGGGACTAGTCGATGTCTAGTCTTTATTCTTGGGCGGTTTTGTTTTTCTACGCTAGCGAGAGCTTCATCGGGGTGCTTCTTACCCTATCTCCATCACACGCTCGCTCTTTTTCTTATTCGTCCGATTCGATGACGTTTCTTTCAACCCGAGCACGATATTGCTAGTCTCGCCCTTCCTTTTTCCTTTCTCGTTTCTTTTTTTTTCCTGATGTCACGATGAATCGGAGGGCGCTTGCTAGATCTTTTTCTTGTTCTTTTCTTTTTTTTCCCCTTGTTTTATCTATAGATGATGTTTTAATCTGTTTACTCCTGCTCGTGCTTGACTCGGCTGGGGTTATGTTCTTTGATGATTAAAGCGGACGTCTTCTGTTCTTCTGAGTGTTGTTACCTTCTGTCCGCTGTCTTTGATGATCTGTTGAGTGTTATAAGGATCCTACACAGAAAGGATTGCGGACTTGATGAACGGGGTGGGCTCGAGTGAGCTCTCTGTTGGCCGGTTGGGCAAGTTCGAAGCGGATGACTGGGATTCTCTTCTTTATTTTTGTTCCGTTTTCCAAGCTAGGTTTAGATGTAAGGACAGAGATGAATTGAATCCGGTTTAAACAACAGACTTCGGGGAAGGACGGTTCACTTGAATAGAAACTGATTATCATTGATAGAGAGAGTTAAGCTAACGACTCCCATCCATTTCGCATACCGATCCCAAATCTCCCATAAAAGGGGTAAAAACAAAATAAAACTCAGACAACGGGAACCCATATATACATAGACAGCAGTCCAACAACCACCTCAGCTCCCTTCGATCCTAACCAAGTGTCAGAAAAGATGAGAGACGGAAGATCATACCTGTCATGAAAAAAAGAGTCATAGTACATGAACTCATACAACATAGTCCGACGTCCCATTCGCGGCCCTCCGGACCCCTCTCCTCCCTCTTCCAAGACTCTCCCCTCTTTGCTCCCTTCTCCCCAATACTACCACCTCAAGACCATTGCCAACGTCGGCGAGTTTTCAAAAAGAAAACATAATCGTTTCTTCAGACCGTTCATGAATCATGGGCCTCTTTTTGTCGTAAAGTCCAACAGGGGGGTAAAAAGAAAAGTGTCGTAGAATCATAAGAGAAAAACATCTCCATGACAAAAATTCGTTGCGAAAACGTTCAGTCATGAACACCGTCGTTTCAAACATCTCCTCCGCCATCGCGCATCCGTCTTCCAGACCTTTGATAAATAGAAGGAGAACCTTGGCTTTTTTCAATCCTCGACATAAAACGTCATGACAACATCCTCGTTCTCACCCCTCTCCCTCTCCATCACACCCCTCCCGCTCTTATACTGCGCCGGAATGGCCGGAACGCAAGGAATCCCCCTATTCGCATTCGGCCTCACGCTCAGCGGGCCATTCCTCCTCCGCCCCTGCAGCGCCTCATTCTGAGTCTGACTCTGAACAGCAGCAGCCAGTTCCTGCTGCTGAGCTAACTTGCCCCACGGCACGCCGGCGGAAATGACCTTGCCGCCCAGACTCTCAACGTCGGAGACCTGTCCCGATTGCAGCGCATCGAACTGCCCGGGACCGAGTCGAACGACGGGCGAAACGGGTCCGGAGATGTGCAAGCCCCTGCTCGAGCCGGGCCGGCTGTTCCCGCCGCTGCTGCTCGTGGGCCTCTTGGCTAACTTATTCGTCTGGCTTGACCCGGAAAACGAGCGACGCGTGAGGACGCCCCCGACGGATTTGACGAGGGGTTGGGGATCCACGGCAGCGCTAAGACCGAAGCCCGCGGCGTTGTGCGAGCGGGGACTCGCCGTAGCGAAGGGCCGCATAGGCGCCGGTGGAGGTGGTGGCGGGTGAGTAGGTTGAGATGAAGTGGAGGATGGTTCAGCGGCGCGGTTTCGCCTGATGCGGGGGATGGCGAGGTCAGCTATGCTGCGGGTTGTCTTGCGCAGTTTGCGCGTGGGACGAGCGATCTCCTCGTCTTCTTCCTGCGCGGCGCGGCGTTTCTTGCCGCGGGAGTCTGGCGTGGCCGGGACCGTGGTGGGCCGCTCGGGTGTTCCGGGGGCTGCTGTTTGGCGCGTTTTACGGGTGGGAGAGGATTCGTGGGAGGGTGGTGGCATGTGCCGCGGCGGCGAGTAGATCGTCGGCAGCTGAGGCTTGGTGAATGATGAAGGGGCAAAGTCCGCGTGGGGTCCGCTGGCTCGCTGGGTAGGTAGGGATGTGGAGAGGAGAGCCTCGGAGGCGACTGCTTGCGTCGATGTGCCGGGATGTCGTGTGGACTTGATGGCGTGCGCGCCGAAGAAGCCTGAATCCAGGAGCTGGTGGTAACTGGCCATGACTTCCTCCTTCGTGGGTCTGTCCCTGCCGACTCCACCGGGGATGGAAACACCATTGATATTTATCGGCTGAGCAGGCTGAGGATGGCGTCCCGAGGCCCTAGCCGCAGAAGCAGCAGCGGCGGTTCCAGCATCAAGACTCAACGGCCTCGGCTGCTTCTTGCCAATATTAAGCTTCTCCCAGAGCCCGGACCACAGAGGCGCGAAAAAGCCGCCCTTCTTCTCCTTGGGGGCGGGCACGTAAGCGCTCGCCGAACGGGGTCGGTTGTCGGACTCATGCTGCTGGGCCTGCGAGTTGCCGCTTCCAGCAAACCCAAAGTTGAAATCGGTCGGTACGGAATTGGCGGATTCGGCGGAGGATACGGCTGATGAGGAGGACGAGGACGAGGGCTTACGCTGTTGGCGTGGGCGCTCTGGGCCGAGGAAATGAGGCGGGGGAACAGCCGAGACGCGGTCGTTCATGGAGCCTTCGGTGAAGCGGCTCCTGGGCAGGGGTTGGCGTTTCGAAGCCATCTCTTCGGTTATCGATGGGCTTGTGTTGTGTTTAGACTGGCCAGTATGGCCTGCTTGGTTGGTGTCAATGTGGCAATGGTTGTGGTGTTGATTTCGTACTGGATGTTTAGATCAGAGTTGGCTACACCACCGCCGTGGCTTCCTTGGTTGAATATCCTTTTTCTCTCAGATTGTTCATCTCCCTCTGAAGAAGAGGGCCAATCTGTTGAAGAGTGTAGAAAACACGTCCAGGTCAATTCCCTTAAGTCTGCAGCTATATGTGCAGCGAGACAGACCAAGTAGGCAGTAAACAAAGCTGTCTCAAAGAGCAAAGGAGTCAGGAGTATTTGAGGAATATCAATGAGGAAGGATGAAAAGGGCAAAAAGAGGATCTATGTTTTGTCTAGGAAGCGTAGGACATAAGTGGGTTAGAGAAGTATAGGGAATGGATTTCCCCAGGCAATGCCTGTGGTCAGGATTTTGTGTGATGAAGTCTCGGATCTCTGTTTTGGTTGCCAGGGGTGAAGCCGTTGAACAAGTACCAAAGTATCTTCCCCAACGGGATTTTGACGCGGACTCGGGAGATGTGCACGGACCACCCAGACACGCCAGGCACGAACCAGAAGAAGAAGGAACATCCCAAGGCCGAAAAGAGACAATCTCATCTCCAGACTTAGAACGATTGAACAAGAGACCTCGAATTCGACGATCCCGAGAAGGCCCCTTCAATCCCAGCCAACCGACTGAAATATGCCAATTAGAATCCAATTCCGGCCAATTCTAAAGAAAGGAAAGAACAGAAAGAAAGGGAAAAAAAAAATAGAAACGCGACTCACAATTCCAACAGAATCCCCCCAAACCACGCGTGTAAGTCTGTCTCAAACAGCTGCAATGCGACGACAAAGCAAAAAGAAATCGCAATCTTACGCGGTGCGCGTCCCGTATCATCAATGCACTCCTCCACGCGCTTCCCTCCCAGAAATAGAAAAAAAGGAAAAAAGCATCGTCACTCCACACTCGTCGTTATGCGTGGCGTGCCTTGCCGAAATGAAAATGGCAGCTCTTGATCCAGCCCTGCGATCCCACCGGTTCTCAGGACGAGGTCCGTTCGACTTGTGTGCCCTGAGACGGACTCCACTCATTGTAGCATCTTGAAATGTCGAGGGCGGGTCCATACTCGAGTTCGCAAGTTTGCTAATAGAGGATTCGTTGATTCACGAGGATGGTGATGATGATCTTTCCTCCAACCTTTCATACTAGAACCACCAGAGGCGGTAAACTTCTGTAGACGTGATTCGCTTACGACTCACTTACAGACGTACAGTCTTCAAATGTCTCGAATCTCCTTATCCAGAACAATGCAGAAATCAATTAACATATCTGAACCGATAATACTATATCGAAAAGACCAAAATCTGTGCCAATTGCCTTGCCCATCGGTTTGCTGAGCTCCCTCTTCCCGACTCTCCTGCCATCAACTGTCTCCTACCCACTCGGGAGCAAGTCATGCTCCTGTCTGTGTGTGTCCTTCGACAGAGAAAGGATACCAATTCCCTTTCCCCCAAACGTATTCTAAGACAAATATCCGAAAGTAGCCTAGGTTCCACCTTATCCCTCAAACTAGGGGCCACGAATCCCCTTCACTCTTTGCGCCTCTGATATGGCCAAATCCTCCCTCTTCCTTCGACTCCTCTGCCTCACCAAGTAATAATATCGAAAAGACGAACAAGGCCAATCTCAGGCCAACCACAGACGAGAACGGGAATCAAAAAGAATTGTTAGGAGAAAATTCTGTGCATAGACAGGTATTTGATAAACATAAGAAACTGATGAACCACCCTTCTTGGCGGATGACTAGAGACAAATATGTAAGGAAATAGCTTCGTGGACAATGAGTGTGTGCTGTATGGTAGCCTGGATGCATCCGTCGAATCCAACCAGGTAACAAAAAAATATGAGTAAGGCAAGAACAAGAAGAAGAAGAGAGAAGCCGAAGACAGATGAAAGGAAAAAGAAGAGGGAAAAAAAATACAACGCCGATAGGCCCATCCAGAATATCCCTGGGATATATACACGTACAACTCTCCTCCTCGAGACCATAAAAAAAGGCGGTAAGATGAGAGAGATATTGGGAGCACATGTGTGCAGACACAAAAATAACAGCCTGAATTTACGCCGCTGTTGCCCAAGAAACGTTTTTCCATATCGGTGACATGACATTATCGACTTATTCCGCCCGAGTTCATTACGAGTCGACTTTGTCTCTCTCCAGCCATTCCTGCTCAATGCAACGGAAATATGAAGAATGTAGCAGGCAAATCGCTTCAGAACAACCCTCACGACACTTGCTCGGTGGCTTCCGCAATGAATGTGTTCTCTGCGAACTGTTTCATATAGCCGGAAGCATTCCGAAGACGAAGGCCGTCGTAAGTCACCACGGAGTCATTCTCCTTAGGGCGTTGGCCGTTATATAGCGGGGCAGTATATGTGGACTCCTCCAGGCGCCTCTTAGAACCAGTCGGTACGTTGGCGTAGGGCGCAGGCGCAGGGGTCGGGTCAGGATCGGGCTCTATCCTGTTATCGATGGTGGTGGTACCTGCTTGCTTCCTCGATTTGTCGAATCCATCAACGCCCGCAAACATCTGCGCTATCGGTGGCAACCTCACGTCTACCTTGCTGCTATGGCTGGATCGCACGGGAGAAGGAGCGGTGGTATATCCTTGGGACGGCCTACGTCGATCTTCGTGTTTCTCTTGAGCATGAGGAGAGGGAGGGACATATCCATTAGACGCACGCCGCTCGTCGAACGAGCCCTGGGCAGATCCGAAAGACCGTGAAGAGGGTCGGCTTCCGTAGTTGTATGTATGGCTCTGAGGCGCCTGGAAGGGAGATGGGTGACCGTTCGGATAAGCTGTCGTAGGCGACGCTGGAGGTTGCACATCAGAGTACTGTTGGGGAGCGTGAGGGGTGGTGTGTCCAAATCCGAGGTGCCCGCTCTGGCCGTAACCCGGCGGGGGAGGAGGCGGTGGGGGTCCGGTGGCGTAGGATTCTGAGATTGACGGTCGTCGTTGAGGCTCGGGCGGGTAAGGGGCTCTGCTGTGGTCACTAGCGGCACTCGCGGATCGTTGCCTATAATCGTGGGGTTGTTGTCTCTCGGGAGTGCGAGCGGTAGGTCTATGCGAATACTCGTCATCGGCTTTCTTGTAGTCCGAAGTGGAAGGCTTCCCGTCTCGTCGGCGCATTCGAACATCGCGTCGTATCCTAACTCGGCATCCTTGATCCGCAACAGTTCGGCTGAGAGCAGTGCTCTCGGCTAGACCAGGGAACTTCTTGGCGCTGTAGACACAGAAAGCCTGGGACTTGACCTCCATCCTCCAGTCGAACGAGGCACCCACGGGCGACCCCTTGGACTCGGATGTCTCCTCGTCGAAGTACTTCTCCTCCTTGGTCTCCTCATACAGATTGAACGACAGCTTGTAGCGGCCTTCGTGGCGAACTGAGAGATCGGGGAATAGGAAGTAACCAGCCTCGGCAGGTCGGTCAAGGTAGGCCATACCGGAAACGGGCATCCCGGTCAGGACGGGTGTGGCAGTGGCTGCGGGAGTCTGGACACGACCGTGGGCCATGGGCCGGGCCAGCTCGAGGGTCGCGAAAAGGAAGAAGTTGGCGTTGTAGTGGAAAGTAATGTCCTTAGACTCGCCAGCATTGGGACCTAGTTCGAAGATACGGAGTTCGACAACGGGAGGCGGATCCACAGGTCGGCGGTCGGCAGCAGCTAATCGCAATGTCAGTCCAAACTAGTCGCTCGAGGTTACGACCAACAAAATCTCGGCTTACATTTGGATCCGGAACCGCAAGCACGAGCTCGCTCGGGTTGCTGCAGCACTGTCAATCGGTATTGAAGCGTCCTGCCGCCTTTCGTCTTTCGCTCCTTAATGACAGGCCCGTCATCCGAGGGCGTTGAAATAATGTGTGCAGCCATCTCGTCGGACCTAATGAGACGGGCACGCTTCGAAACTGGGTCTCAATCGTAGAATCTCAAATCGGCTCAGGAGTAAGTCCCGTTGCTTTCAACTCGAAGGATACTGCCAACTACCAAAAGAAAAATGAAAATCAGCGACTGAACGATTTCCGCATTTCATACGGATACATCCAGAATAGCGTCAGGAATCAAGGCCAGCGGATAACTCCCCAGACCGTCCCAATGCCGTGGATTTGATCTTCCGACGAAAGAAATACAATTCCAAGACATCAAACTCACGTTAATTTGACAGAACCAATTGGCCAGACCGAAAAATATCCCCCAACAATCGGTGGCAATGGCGGTGTCGATAAATACAGATGCTCCGAAGCGTCCGTTTGCTGTCGAAAGCAAGAAACGCCGGGAGTTCAGGTGATGTCGGCGAATGAGAAAGAGAGAAAGGGGGGCCAGAAAATAAAATGGTGTCGCCCCGACGATTATTGAATTTGGCTCGGAATGGATTATTTTGGGGCGCCAGAAATTCGGGATTCTGTTGTCAGATCTGTCGCAGCTGACTCGGTTGCGTTTGGCAGGCCGACGGCAGTCCTAAACTACAAGTAATTGAAGATTTGGGAGACAGGCAAAAGAGGGGTGGCGAAAAAAACGAGGTCGGTCCCAAGGCTTAGGATGAGAGGGTGGGCCAGCCGTCAAATTGAGAAAGCGTGTCCAGCTGCCCGGGTCGTGTGGTTGGCACTTGTCTAAAAGTAGACTGTCGGATGGTGTTTGTCGGGTGTTTATCGGGTTCCTGATGTCGTTCGCTGGGTGTCTGGTACCGTCGAAAAAAGGTAGGACGACAAGAGTCTGTCTGATTTTTCCCCCTTCGATTCCCAGAAATGAATTCCCTCCTCTTTCTGTCGACTCGAACAATTCGATTAGAAGGGAACGGTCGAAACAACCTTCAAGTCGAGGGTTATCTCGAGGGTCCGAAGTTTTGGGTGGTGAAGAACGGGAAGGGAAAAAAGGAGAAGAGGGAGGGAAGGGCCATGGGACTTTTTGTTGGGTCCAAGAGCAAATTAATTGGTACAGGTCAGTACCACTGGCACCAAGTGCAAAAGGACGGAACTCGGCTCTACTGTCGCGCCTGTGTAGAGGACCTGGTTCGATGAGTACTTTCCCGTACCAGACCGTACCACGCAGCACAGTACAGAGTGCGATGTAAACTGCAAAGTACCTTGTATGCAACGGGGTGGCGCCGGGGAATAGTGACCCTGCCCCAGGTGATATTATCAACTGTGAGAGAGCGGGCCTAACCAGGAACTAGCTGGATGGGAGGGGGCGCAGGTGTGGGAAAGCAAGGGAGGGGGGGAAGGGACAGGCGGGGTGGTGTGTACTCTACAGTGTAACTCTTCCAAGGCCAAGCTTGGCCAGGCCCCCTAGCCTTTGGTTCTTGGTTCTCTGTGATGGTCCTACTTGTACGAAGTACTTGTCGTGAATGTGAGCACTGAGGGTGTACATGTAATAAGGACGAAGTCGTCTCTATCGATACGTGTGTGGGGGGTGAAATGCATACAGTGCTAAAGACTGTGCCATTGACGACACTAACGATTCCATGTCTCTACGAAAGGTTCTTATGTGGCTCTAGAAATGCCAATGTGAACATGTCTCTGGCTCTATTCAGACAGAATTGCAATTCTTCGGGCGCTTCATACCGAGAAAGAGGTGATAGAACGTGCATTATAGAACCTATCGAAGACTTTTATATACCCAAGAAACCAGAGCATTGGTGATATAACCCAAAAGCCACTTGTCGATGTCCTGGCGCAAGATCAAACACGACCCAGCCTCCAACGTAGCACGCACTGTGACAGCGTTCTGAAAATCGGTTGACTGATCAAATGTTGGTTACACTCTCTGGCATCTCTGCTGAGGCCTCGACTGGCTAGCCCAAATGGAGAAAAGTCGAGCAGACTGACAAAAAGCCGATTCTTAGCATGAGTCGACCGTAGGCCTGTTAAATGTGAGCAGTCAATATCCTAATTTCTCACGAGTTTTTCTTCCTTGAAATGGAAAAAAATAAAGGAGAGCGAAGCGAGGTGTAATTATAGAAGCCCAGGGGAAAGGTTAAATAACATGAAGTGTTCTCCATCCCGGGTCTTCTAATCTCCACGCGTGCGACACTTCTTCAAGGCTTTTCGCGTCACCGTCAGCGTCACCAGAAATCTGCCAACAAATGGTGGAAGGGAGCATGTCCGGCAAGCCACTCAAGCAAGGGTTGTCGACTCTCTTTCATTCTCCTATTCCATGCGCCGCAGAGCTAGTACGAAATCGCCCAGAGAGTCGCAGAATATCACCCAAAGTCGCAAGCGACTAGGCCTACGGTGTGCGATCAAGCAAGACAGATACTGTGTACCTCCGTCCTCGGCTCAGAGCGAGCGCCCGCAAGCATGTACGCATACGAAGCCAGCAGTCTGTGGCTTCCCAGCGCGTGCGATTGACCCTTGTCGCCTTGGGCGTGGTACAGCTAGTGGTGTCAGCGGGAGGAGCACTGCACGAGTGATATGTAAGTTTACGAAGTAGACTCGCAATCTATTGCCGACGAAGCTGTAGAATCTCTCCCCTCAAAGAGCGCCACAACTTCAGATCTGACGCTTCAACGTGGTAGCAGATGTGTCGTCCTGAGTCAAGAGCGTTGCGTCGTCACTAACAGAGTTTCTGAAAGTGCGGGCCGGTGGCGCGTGAGTGGATGCCCCCCCGTCCGGGGACGCAAAGAAGATCTCTGCTGCGACGAGACGGTCCGCATTAACCCTTCGCACTATTTCGTCTTCCTCGTCTTCGTCGTGTGCACTACTTCGTGCTTCGTCTGTCAAACCAGTCCATCATATGTGCTTCGTACAACGAGTACCCACGTCTAGGGTAGCATCGACCAGCGAACCCACCCTGGATGCTACACACCCACTTCCGGCCCAGATGACACACGGGCCAGCATCCTCTTTAAAACATTCCAGTGAACAAGCCAACAGCGAACCGCGAACCTCTCGGGTGGGAAGGGAAAGCAAGATTAGGGATTGGGGATTGGGGGAGCTATTACCATGGAGATGGGATTCTGGCACAAACGAGGAAATTCTGCACCAACCACGTTATGATGCACATGAGTAACATCAATTTTCCCTCTCTCTCTCCAGTCGGGAAGCCAACCAGGCCATTCCGATGCAATAGCCCCAGGGCACTTTCAGAACTTTTGAGCCCAACCAACAGGGTCCCTGCCAAACCTTCAGGCGTTAAAAGTATTAAATCCAGATAAACCCATTTTTTTGACAAGAAATCGGCGAGAACCCCCGAAACGCGAGCAACAAAGAGGCTGCACTAGTGTCGATTGGCAGCTCCATGTCCCTGACTCAGTTATGGACGAGGGTTGCGTGATCCCAGTCTTGTACCACACCTTCTTCTCCAAACTGTATACACTAAGAAAGAAGGGAAGCTTCCGTACATTGCCTTGCTTTTGCCTTTTGCCAGGCCTTGATTTTCAAGCGATCCGCGAATTTCCCGCAGGACCATGCTCCTGAATGATTTAATCGCCCTTCCCCATCTCTTCCTGGTCTCTCCTCCTTTCCTATCCCTCCCTCTTTTCCTAAACCCGGCCCCAATCTTAACACCCCTGTCAAGCTATGACATCCTTGTACTTGTATCCAATAGGAGCGGTCTGGAACGCTTTCTCCCCTCCAAGAAGTGGCCCCACTTGAGATCCAGGGTGCACCTTGCCTAAACGAAGACAGTTCTCATTCCAGCCGGGAGGCCATACGGTACATACAGTATGAAGTACACAACGCTACTAGACGGACCGTGGGTCCTCCGCCTCTCTCCATTGCTCCACCCCCTCTTCAAGGACCGCTAGCAAGGGTCGTTTTTTTTCAGTCCAATCAGAGGCGGACCACGGGTACGTGTGTAGCCCAGTGTTGAGGACTTTGGATGGACACTGTACCTGGTTAGGTGTCTGCTCCAAGCAAAGCTCCTTGGTTCCAAGCAAGCTCATCGCAAACAGAGGTGCCAGGCAGGCAGCTTGGAAGTTGGTGCTGACGATCTCGACTGTCGTCGAGAAGTAGTCGCTGAAGCCAAGACGAGGGGGACGTGAATTGGTGCTGCATATCTGATCTCATCTTGGAATAGTTTTTGTACGACTCGAAGGCAACAAGCTCCGAAATGTTCACCTTTCCTGACATCTCTCTCACTTTTCATCTTTCTCTACCTCTCTCTTTTTTCGCCCTTGTCACGTTTTGGATTTTATTGCATGGGGCGTACATAAAGTCCGCACCCATCGTGCAGTTGAAGACACAGATGCCCCATGTCCCCGTGTTCCCCGTCCAGTCACGTCCATCCAGTTTATGTGCTCCATTTCGGGGGCTCCAGATCGCAGTGTCCTGTGCCTTTTTTGATCCTTGGACCATGCTTCGGGAATCTCTTGACTTGCATAGCAGACTTAGTGCTTGACGGCGGCAGTCCTCCTAGCGCACAGATTTCCATCGTCTCCCACATGATGTTAATGTTATTCTAGCACTTTCAGATACTTGTGCGGTTTCCGGCGTGCCGAAAGACGTCATTTTGGGGGGGAATGTGAAGAAAAGGCAATCACTGAGTGACACCCACTCGCAAACGCGTGGCCCCTAGTGAATTCTCATGAAGAAAAGCAAATAATGTGGGATTGCCCCCAATCGTCGTACCCGCTCTTTAAAACACGGCGCGATCAGAGCCCGTTTCTTAGCGAGGTCGTAACCTGTCATTTCGTAGTTTAGGAGGAGAGGCCGGGCACTAAAATGGCGATGGGCGGGAACGTGGACGGGGAACAAACAAGACCCGTCCGCTATCCTCCGACTGTGGGCAAAGGCAGTGTGGTGGATCCGAGGAGTGGAAAGGAGGTCCCTGCTTCCCACCAGTGACGCGCTGATAAAGAAGAATACAGCTGTGGATCGCCCAGCCTGGCGCTAGAAAAGTTCCCTCTCATCCTCTCAAAGCATTTCCGTCTCATC